TAAAGTTGCCTAGCCAGTTAACTTAAACGTTAATGGCATAATTAATTAAAATATGATATGCCGGCATACTATGTTACCCATTATTTGTAATATAGTAGTGGAACTCTTTTCACATGAGAAATTCATAAACTTGCTTTCCAAAATGCATTATATGCTTGCTGATAGTAAACGGTAAAACTACACGTGATTTAAAAGTTATATATGTGTTTTTAACTTTATGTTTATTCCAAACTCCAATTTCTGAATTACTTCGAATGTAAAAGACTCCGTCTTATTAGTTATTTTATGGCTTGCTAACAGTAAATAATACTTAACATATTTTTAAATTTTCAGAATGTGTTAAACCATTATGGCTGTACAAAGAAGATGGATTTTGTTCAATCTACATAGCTGTGCGTAAAGTAATGTAAAGGCAACAGTCCACAAATAACTTCAACTGAAATTATTTCTGTTTCTCAAATGAAGTATTCTTTCTTTTACTGTGTATTACAGTCGTTACAATGTAACTTCTGGAAGTTTTCATAATGGACTAATAAAATTAAAGCCAGTATTCAGAAATAACACTAAAGTATTATTTTTATTAATGTAGTGACGTGAAAAATGGACTTTAAAATCCTTGTGAATGAAAACACTCAATGAACTTGTCTATTTCGGCGATTTGCCATATTTTACTTCGATACTTAGGTTAAGATACTGGCTGAAAAGACATAACTGCCTATTATGCTGTAGAAGTTACAGGAATTGAAGCCAGCACTGTAGTCTTGCATTATGTACTAGCAATAAAATCTCTCAGTTCAGTCTTCGTGAACCACGCCAGATACTAGCTTGCTAGGCTACTAGCTTACTAGTTTTCTCGCCGGTCCCAAGCCCGGGTAAAGAGGAAGGGTTGGGGCGTGGTGCTAGCAACTCCACCCCTGTAAAACAACCAAATCGCTACAGAAACTTCAACGAATAAATATATTAAAAATTCTAAAAACATAAGCAATAGCCTTACTTTTCGTTGGAATCGTGGGAGTGAAATGACGCAGACTGGTGAAAGCCTTCGGGAAGCCAGTCAGCCGATGTGCCTTCTTTCGATGAAAGCAAAAGTAAGGATGGGTACCTGGAATGTTCGTACAATGTACGAAACTGGAAAGGCTGCCCAGATAGCCGCTGAAATGAGAAGGTACACAATAGAAGTGTTGGGAATCTGCGAAAGCAGATGGAACGGAACTGGAAGGTGCCAACTACCAACTGGAGAGACAGTAATCTGTTCCGGTCACCCAGAGGACAACCATGAGCACACCGAGGGAGTGGCCATCATGATGTCAACAACAGCAGCCAAAGCTCTCATGCAGTGGGAACCAATCTCCTCCAGGATAATGACAGCCAGGTTCAACTCAAAAGGAAGGAAATTTACAGTCATTCAATGTTATGCGCCTACAAACGTCTCAGAACAAGAGAAGAAGCAGGCGTTCTACAGACAACTACAAGCAATAATAGACAACGTCCCTAATGGTGATATCAAAATCCTGATGGGCGACATGAATGCGAAGCTGGAATGAGACAACACAGGAAGAGAACTCACCATGGGTCGTGAGGCCCTCAGTGAAATGAACGACATTGGTGAACTCTTCTCAGACTTCTGCGCCTTCAATGATTTGGTGATTGGTGGTAGTGTGTTCAAACACAAGGATATACACAAGACGACATGGATTTCACCAGATGGAAACACCAAGAACCAAATAGACTTTATCTCAATTTCAAGAAAGTGGAGACGGAGCCTACTGGACACAAGGTCAAGGAGAGGAGCAGATGTGGGTTCAGACCACTATCTAGTAGAAGGGACTTTCAAGGTGGAACTAAAAGTCTCGAGGATGGCTGGGGATAGGTCACAATGCAAGTTCAACACTCAATTACTGAAGGACCCAACCACAAAAGACACTTTCACTGCAACTGTCAGAGCAAAGCAGGAAACACTACGCGACATCACGGAAGAATCATGCGTGGAAGAACGTTGGAAGTCTCTGAAGGCGATTCTCAACGAAAAGTGTTCAACGGACACTTGGAAATTAATAGAAGAGAGGAGAATGGTGAAAGAGAAAATGATTCAATGCAAGGACGGACAGGAGAAGGAGACGATGAGCTCAACTTACAAAGCACTGGACAAAGAAGTGAAGAAGAGTGCTAGGAAGGACAAAAGACGATTCTACGACAACCTGGCCACTGAAGCTGAGAAGGCAGCAGGCAAAAGGGACCTGAGGACACTATATCAGATAACCAAATCTCTATCCGGGAAGAGACCAACACAAGCGAAACCTATAAAAGACAGCCAAGGGAACCCAATTACCAAGGAAGAAAAACAGATTAAACAATGGGCGGATCACTTCAAAGGACTCTTGAACCGACCATCACCTGCAACCCGTCCAGAAATACCAACAACAGTGCGCACACAACTGCAAGTTGACACCAATCCTCCAACGAGAGCTGAAGTCTTGAACACAATCAAACTTCTGAAAGCTGGAAAAGCAGCTGGACCAGATGGAATACCCCCTGAAGCACTGAAAGCGGACCCAGAAATGACAATAGACATGCTGACTCCATTATTGCAAAAAGTGCCTACTGACTGGAGGAAAGGTTACCTCGTGAAACTACCAAAGAAGGGCGACTTACGCCTCACTCTGCAAGAACTGGCGAGGAATCATGCTCCTGTCGACGCCAAGTAAAATCCTGAGTCGCATCATCCTGGAGAGATTAAAGGACGCACTGGAGACAGAACTCCGACCAGAACAAGCTGGATTCAGGAAAGGCAAATCATGTACTGACCAAATTGCAACTCTACGCATCATCATCATCAGAACAAAGCATGGAATGGCAATCAAACCTCTACCTCAACTTTATAGACTTTGAGAAGGCCTTCGACAGTTAGCGCGAAGTAATTTGGAAATTACTCGAGTACTATGGCGTACCCCAAATATTCATCAACCTTATTCAACAGCTGTACGACAACGGCACATGTCAAGTGATCCACAACGGAAAACTCAGCAAGGCGTTTGGAGTAAACACAGGAGTCAGACAAGGGTGCTCTTATTATCACCAATGATATTCCTAATTGTGGTGGACTGGATTATGCGTCAGACAGTGGGAAACGAGAAGACAGGGATATCCTGGACCGACGTGAAGAACCTAGAAGACCTGGATTTCGCGCGTGATGATTTATGTTTGATGTCACACAAAATCGAAGACTTACAAGCGAAAACCGACAAACTGGTCGAAGAAGCAGCCGGCGAAGACAGGACTCCAGGTGAACATAGACAAGACGGAGGTTATGAAAATAACCATCCAACAACAAACAGCAGCAGCAACATCCAGCGTCAATCACCATCAACGGGAGGGATTTGAAAGAGGTTACTTCATTCACTTATCTAGGGAGCATTGTCTCAACTACAGCCGGTCGGAACGGACGAGGATGTCAAATCGAGCGAGAATCGGGAAGGCGAGAAACACATTCATCAACCTGAAATCAATCTGGAAATCTTCGTCACTCAGCATCAAAAACGAAATTCGGTTATTTTCAATACAAACGTCAAGTCAGTTCTTCTATACGGATCAGAAACTTGACGGGCTGGTCACAAAGAATATTTCCAACAGCCTGTTGCAGACCTTTATTAACAACTGTCTTCGCTCAATACTGAAGATCAGATGGCCAGGCCGGAAAGAATCACCAACAAGGAATTATGGGAACAAACAATGCAAGAACCAATCGCCCAACAAATATGCAGGAGAAAGTGGAGATGGATTGGACACTCGATGAGGAGACCGCTGGGTGACATCGCGTGTCAAGCCCTCGAGTGGAACCCGAAAGGGAAGCGGCGTGTGGGACGTCCAAGGGTGACATGGAGGAGATCGTGTGAAGAGGAGTTGAAAGAATATGGATTAACATGGATGCAGGCGAAAAGTACAGCAGAAGACAGAAGCAAATGGAGACGTGCAGATGAAGCCCTATGTTCCACTAGGAACCCAAGGGAGCAATAATAATAATAAATCAGTCTTCGTGAGAGTGTTTAGTAATAACCGATCTTAACAAAATATAACCATCATATAGCGTTGCCTGACTCACAATAAGCTGGTTTGTCTAACCTCATATTTATGCTATCGAGAGAATTATTCATTGTTATTTAAAAGTAACTAAAAGACACAGAGGAGTAGCTTAGTTTCTTAGGGGCCAAACATGAAGCATTAGATAACCTATACTAACTAGTGTTTTGAAATAATTATGTCTGGTTTTATCTGTATGACTCGAATATCAGATAGGTGATTTTGCTGTGAGTGATGTTTTTAGTTGTCTTTTTATTCGGAAGCATCAAATAATCTTGGCTATCGATTGTTATATAGAACCTCTTTGTTATAGATACGTATGAGAAAATCCATGTCGGTGTCGTTATAATCTTTCACCGTGTCAATGAATTCAACTGGTCTCATGTTTCTACACAAACAAAAACTTATGGGATTTCTTACAATATAGCGTGAACTATTCATAGCTTAAGCCTGTTGCAACTTTTCAGCCAGTTGGGCATGGGGATGACTTAAAAAGACAGATAGGTCTATTAGCACAAGGAATTTAGACGTTTTAGTGAAAAAAAATGACAGTAGTATATAAAAATGCTATACATTAAAAAAAATCAGGATATATATAAATATATACGGTAGACAAAAACATACAAAAGAACGAACTTTAGTATATAAAGCTTTCAGTACTATGTAGGAAGAATTCAAAATAAGATATGGTTACTAGTTAGTTATAAAATGATTGCATCTGGTTTTCAGCATAGCTGACCTATGAAACATTCCGGTTAGCTAAAAGCGAATATATAGGTATTTACATGTTTTGCTATATTATAAATTCAAGTTGCTGCTGCATGCAATGAGATCATAATATAGTCTAATAAAGCGTTTATATATTGAAAATACAGATATAATATTTTTCAGATAGAAAACAAATTAAAAAATATAAGATTGTGTTATGCATTTTGTGAGGAACATGTTGGATCAGGCCAGTATCGATCAGCTGAACCTTGATCTGTGTCACTGTCTTCTTGTGAGGCGTCCAGATCGTTTTGATTTGGCCTTGATGATCCTGCCCAGTTTGAATTTTCTTCTGCGGCATCTTCCCCAGCTTGTTCAGCTAAACTAGAATCTGCAACACTTCTGTGGAGTTGGAGTTGCCTAAGGTAATAACGTCTTTGACGAGCGTTACGTCGAAGCCATAGCTGACGATTAAGAAAAGGGAGATTGTTTTCGGTGTCTGCATCGACTGTAGCAGAAATATATGACGTTTCACCAGAATTCACCTGATCTGAATTAATTTGATCTGGATTGGGAATGGCATCAGGCCACTGAGGCCACACATATCCAGCTGCAGCCTCAAAAGATGTACTAACTGGGAGATTATTTCTTCCATCAGATCCTGTTCTGTGAGTATTAGGTATAGGTTCGCCTGCAGATGGATGTTGTGAATTTCTTGAATCAGTTGGATTTGAAGAGCATGATGAGGTATTCTGAATATTTTGACTTGGTGAGCTAACTAGCATACTACTTCTACTCTCACTACTCGTATAGCCGAAGTTCGATAACATCAGATGACTTAGTGAACTATCTTGGTCACTTGACAACAAGGGTTGTCCACTACTTGCCCATGAATCTGTTGAAAAAAGACCGGCATTATATTGCTCATTATTTCGATTAGTCCCAGAGGCTGTGTTGTTGATTTTAAAATTGTGGCTAGTATTTCCTGCCCCACCCACCTCATCAACTTTAACAAGTGTTGGATGACTTTGTGTGGCAAATGATGAGTGACTCCATCGCTCACCTATACCAGAGTTCATACTTACTGAGGTCGACATTGTGTAGTCTGTCCGGCCGCCTATACTACGTCGTTTATGTCGTGGATATTTACCTGAACGGTTTGCTTGCAAGACTGTTGGGGGTAATAACAAACTAGTACGTACACGTCTATTAGCACCAAATCGTCGATTTGTTAGTCCATTACCTGAATTTGAATTCTGTAATGGCGAACTAGAATTCCTGTTTTTCACCAGTTGAAGCGATGGAACTGCTTGGTTAGACTGTCGAAAACGTTCGCCTGAAAACCTTGCAGTTGGGTAAATGGTAGCACGGCTTCTTGTGTCTCCTCCAGTACTGCTGTACACCTCAGTGTTGGAACTGCTTTCATTCTGAAGTACCAAAGAAAATAAAACATGCTTTATTGCTGACATTTAAAATTAAAATTAACGAACAACAATAACTCGACTAGAAACATCGCACAAGAAAAAGTTCTTTTATTTTCTTCGTTTCCGTTGCCAATGGATTTCATGGTTTTATCCTTTCCTGTATCAGTCTAGACTCTTAACAATTCAGCAGCCGAACTAAACGATTAATAATTATAATCTCTCTAATATGTGAAGTGGACGAAAAATCAAGTGTTCTAAAGATTAAGACAGTGCGTCGGTGGCACAGCGGTAGAATGCTCGCCGACCACGCTGGTGGTTCAGGGTTCGATCCCCGGTCGACACACTCTTGAACCTCGCTAAGCTAGTAATAAGACTGGTAAAGAGGGCAGGTTAGACATGAGGCTAGCAACTCCATCCCGTAAAAATAAACACCACTGCTACCGAAACTTCAAGCCTTTAGCTTGAAGCCCTATATTCTACTGGGAACGTGAAGGAATAAAAGAACTAATAAAATATGTTCTTCATAAAGATGATCACAAAGGGAAGCCTTCCAGAGAAATTAGTATCTATGAATGAAAGAATGGATAACTTATTTTGGTTTATGGTAACTAGTAATGGAAACCTGGATGAAAATTCCGTCTTACTCAGCACACATCATCTGGATGTAACTGTCTTGTCAGTGGAATGTGGTTTCCCCACAGAGAATTCAAGCCTGCATCCTTCATTTCAATTACCAAAGCGTTATTTACTTGGCCACTGGGCTGCAACAGCCGCTTCTTGTACAAAGGGTATCTGTTATTTTTTAGGTAAATTAGGATTTCCCTATGACTGTATATTTTAGACCGAAATGTGCATCCCAGATTCGACTGGTAGTCATCATCACCTGAAATAACATCGTGTTAATCTTTAGACATAATCAAAGTCTTCGTATTAGAAGCCGACATGTTAAAAATGACGGAGCATTTCATTTCAAATAATCAGTCATAAGGAAATGCAAATAACCCAAAAGCAAAAAGGAATGACAACTCGTTCTCCTCATAATATAGGAATTTAGCAGTCAAAGATTTGTGCAGAGTAAGGCTTAACAGAACTGCTATAATTTGGTGCTGAAATGTTATTAACCAATGAAGCTTTTGAGTCCTAACTGTGATTTTTATGGCATCAGAAACTGGATGCTGGAAATCCTCAGTAAAATGCTTCAAAACTGACTCTTCATCACACAAGTTTTGAACACTTTATATACACACCCCTGATTATCGTACCTTTCTTGGTTTTTACAAAAAGCTTGCTACAGTTTTATTTCTTCAAAATAATAAAACAGACAAAGTCTTATTTAGAAATGAGTTTCTCTAATTTGCGCATTAGTGTAGGTATTTTTTCAATGTCTCTCCACGAATGACAACTCCCATCTCTGTATTCATATCAAAACTTTGTTGTTTGGTGGTCTACTAAGGTATACGTAACATGAATGGCAGCTGAAACTGTAAATGAGTTATACAAATTCCCTCTATATTGCTCAGTCATTTGATTATGCTGATTTGGAGTTAAAAAGCTTTCTATCGAGGCATACAATTTTGAAATTATCGTAGTTTCACTGAAAGTGTTCATTGAAGTGTGCCCTCTGTCTGATCTGCTCACTAATAGTACGTGCTAGTACATGAAATTCCGAATTCAAATACGAGCAGATTTGCAATGAAAACCGAGTATGAAACATACATCTCTCCATAGATACGAAAAATTGCTACTGATATGTTCTCTGCAAACCTTTGATTTGAATAGAAACAGTTTTTAACTGGTTCTGAGGTGAATTTATTGACGTCTCTATGGTAATTTATGACCTGTTTAACCAAACTATGCATTTCTAATAGTTACTTGTCAGGGTTTTTATGTTACGAATTACAATTAAGTGAGAAAATATAAGTTATTAATTTTCACTCCAGCGGCAGTTGGCTACTTTTGAGACTTAAGGGCGTTACAGTGTGTGACAAATGGGATTACGCTTTGAACTGCTGAATATGTCATATTAGATTGGAATAATTGCTTTGTGTTTTTGGTTTTTCTTTAGTTGAAGCTGATCTGTTGATACACACCATCCCTAAATCAATCATTCCCGCAAATAAGTTTAATGCTATGCTTGATATTCAGGTATGAAATCCTTAGTGAGCAACTCAGAGCCAAGAAAAGTTATCTGCTGTTTCTTAATTTAAAAATTGATATAGTAGTTGACTCTCATTCGCGCTATCATCAACTGGAGGTGACACGCTTTAGACGACTGGATGAAATTCCATCCTAAGACAAAAGAATGATTCTAGTTAAGAAAATTAGATAATATATCAGTGTCAGTTGGTCTGATCTAAATGACAGTTACTTTGATATCATATCACAAACAATGAATACATCTGTGGGAATTTTCGCATGACAGTTATGTGCGCAAATAGTCATACAACATAACTATTCGTTCAGGTTTCAAAAGCTGATAGACAGTTTTAAATTCGGTTAGTTTTGAACCTTAAGATGCTTAATGTCTACTGACATTGCTGTTTAATTTCTATTTGTTTGGCTAGATTTGTTGATTTCAACCGCTGAATTCTTAGCTGTACGTTCATAATTTTGATTTTCTTTACAATGGACTAAATAAGTTCAGCGTAGATATAACTATGTACTTGGCAGCAAGGGATAACATAACCCCAAGCACGCTGTAGGCTGGAAATTATTGCATCAAAAGTAACTTGTTTTACTTATTTGCAACTCGTCTTATTAAATGGAAATTTCTACAAGTTTTCATGCAAATTTACTATAAAAATTTTCAGATTTAATGCACATGTTATATTTAGGACATTTTTGCTTTATGGAATGACTAAAGCAAATTTTAAATTCTCTATTGAAGTAATTTGATTAAGATCCTATCAAATGAAAATAAGTAGTTAGTGACTTCAGCTACGTCTCAGATTTTTCAGCTAGAAAATCCACTGTTGTACAAAAATAAGACAAACGAAGATATAGAAGACAAAACTGTAAAAATATATTTGAATCTCATTCGGGTTCCTGTTAAAGACTGAAGTCTTTCTGAATAGTGCAAGTTCATGATGTTGCACACCTACTGAAAACTATCAGTGAATAAGTTGTTGATTTTGCGATCAGCCACCCTTCGCGAAAAACAGATCTCTTTTAGCTTAAACGAAAGGCACTGATGTGCATATGTTCAGTTTCCCAGTGAAGTACAAAGAGTCATAACTGAATATCTTCAGATAATGTTTATAGAAATTAAATTAAATTTTAAGTACATCACCTCATTATGTACACTATCTTACTCTGGAATAAAGATAAAGGTGAGGTTGTAGTGCGAAGTCTTTAAACATGTTGTATAGTTCCACGAAACTCGGTCTGGCATCAGGATTTTCATTCCAACCTGTCGAGAAATAAAATGTGCAAATTATTTTCATTAGCAAAGGTGTGACAAGTAACGCTGCGTTATTTGGAGCAAAAACTACAAAAATAATTAGCATGAATGTGAATAGCTGAAATAAATTTTCAGAGAATTATTGTTGCTGATGCATTTCTATGAAGTGTATATGGTAAACACTACTCTATTTGCGATATTTTTCCAACACTGAAGTATTTATTGGAATTAAGTTTCAAATTCAAATTGAAATAAATCAAATCAGCTTTCACATCAAATTGCTTTCATGTTTTTCCTGTACATGTAAATCTGGTGCTTGATTAAACACAGTTCTAAGTGTAGGAAAGGTGATGAAGTATAATCTTTCTTATTCATGCTGCAAAACACTGTGTCTTCTGATAGTTTGTAAATGTAAAGGCAACCAACTGAAAATGTAAGTGAATACACATGCACACGTCTAATAAAAATGATGAGTGAATAATTAATTTAAGATTAACTGACTAGATTATTGGATTCATCAGCATAAATCAAGTTGTATTGACAAGCCATTAGTTCAAGAGAACACGCAGTATAATATATCTAATATCATTCAAGGTGCGTCGGTGGTATAGCGGTTAGGACGCTCACCAACCATGCAAATGGTCCGGGGTTCGATCCCCGGCTGACAACGCACTCCTTTACCTCGCTGAGCCAGAAATAATGCTGGTAAAGAGGAAGAGTTGGGCATGAGGCTAGCAACCCCATCCTGTAAAATAAACACTGCTACAGAAAATTCAAGCTACTAGCTTGAAGCCTTATGTTCCACTGGAGAACGTAAAGGAAAAAAATATCCTTCAAGGATATTCTGTAGCATAATGCTAAGTAATAATTATCAAACAGCAAAATACCGCAGATTTTGTTCGATTAAAATGGAGCTATTTTGAAAGTATCAGTGGGAAGAGCTGAATAAGTTTTATTTATTTACAAAGATATTAGTTGGGCTGGCTAAAGTGTCCTGTCATTTTGAGACAAGAAACGATTTGATAAGGCAGCAGATTACTATCGTTTGCAAGTGTCTGAGATATATATCACTAGTACGGTGTCGGTCTGCCTCAACAATCAGCGTTAGCTGATTTAACATGAGATAAGCAAAAAGTTAAGAATAATTAAACCACATAGATTTGAAGATGCTATCCTACTGATTAAAATAATTAAATATGTAGTCAAAACTTACAGTTTAACATAACCTGGTATAATTCAAGTGTGCATATATCAGGTTGTGGAAGACGTCCGCCAGCCAGAACATGATCTTTCACGTTAGCTGTTTCAATACGGTCAAACGGTTTGTCACCGAAAGTGAATATCTCCCATATAGTGACACCTATAAGTTAAAACAAAAGAAATAATACGGTATTTCAGCACGAGTTCAGTGCTAGTTGCTTTGTCCTTTATATTTTCTGCGTCTAAATCAAAGGTTGCTAAAGGTAGCACGGTTCGAGACAATGACTATTGATTACCATGATGGTTTGTTTCCAATAAGTTAGCCCGGGAGATAGTTTCTGGATTCAGTTTCAGTTGTTAATTTAATGAAACAAAGCAACCTGATAATTACTAGATTTCATAAAGACCATTTTTATTTTGTTTCATTCATCAGAATGTTAACGGATTCATTTCATGACAGTTTATTTGAATTTTTTACTAACTACTACGCGATGCATAAGACGCGAGAATAACTGTTTTCCAAATCCCTGGGTTTTCTACAAATATATAAAACCAATACATGTCGACCAAATCTTCATGAAATTATGTGGTCGAATCTTAATTAAAAATCATACAGATCTTCCGAAACCTTTTGACATAAAAGTCACTTGACTTAATGTAAAGAAATACGATTAGTTTAGTGATCAGACGGCTTTCAATCTGCCTGTTATTTTCATATGGGTAAGCTTTAAAAACATAGTAATATATATTAAAATTAATTATAAACTTTCGTTTTCATTACATCATTAGGTAAATTCATATACACATATATGGAATAAGGTGAATAGACATTTCAACTTACCGTATGCCCAAACATCTGTTTTAAATGAATAGATTCGATGAGTCAGCGTCTCACAGGCTAACCATCTAATGGGTACACGACCGGAGCAAACAATTACTTCATTACGTTTCGCCTCTTCTTCACTTTCAAGCATTTTAGCTAGACCGAAATCTGTAATTTGTAGGTGGTCTGGTGACGTTACCAAAACGTTCCGAGTAGCCAAATCCCTGTGATTTATGAAAAATACTAAAAGATTACTTATCTCATTTTGGTTACTTACTATCAATAGAAAAATTTTGGAAACTTTTAGCAATAGTCTTTTTAGTTAAGTGTTATGTTAACGAAGACGTAGATGAGTTTGAATATGTACCTATTCTTTTGAGGTTGGATAATGATGATACCTCGTATCAAAGAGCACTGAGACTAAGTTTGAAAATTAGAAATCATTATATCACAGGGATCTAATTCGGTCAGTAGGCATGCATGAATGTATTATTCACGTAGATGAAGAATAAAACTTGCACTATCCCCCAGAAAACATTCTCAATAACATACCGTAAAGAACTGATGAAATATGATAAAATGACACAAGAAACTAATATGACATAAGAATAGAACATGAGCACTATGGAGGAAATTTATCTGGTAAAATTTCCTAGTGTTAGACAGTATCATTTACTCATAACGTTTAGAGCACAGTTTATTTATTGATGTAAGTAATTGGTCAATCAGCTATGAAACGTTTTCATAGGCTTGTAAAGAAAAATTGAAAACACATGAAATACCACTTACCGATGAATAATCCCTCGTGACTGTAAATATGCCATACCATCAGCAATCTGTGATGCCCAATCCAGAAGAAGTAATGAACTGATGTCTGGTGCATGGAGTCTCAAATAACGATCTAAACTTCCATTGACCACGTAAGCGGAGACTAAGCATTTCCTTGACTGAGATAAACATATACCAAGCAGTGGGAGGCAGTGATAGTGAGATACAGACGCCATCACCTATAGATAGAAGAAAAAAAAATATGAGACTAACTTTAGCTTGATAATTTAAAACTTAATACCCACTAGAAGTCAAAATATCCTGTCAATTAAACATAGATAATGTTCCATTCTTTACAAGCTAGTCTAGTGAAAAGATACGAATAAATTTCAACTGTGGAAGTTTGTGCTGAGTGTATTTCTTTTACTTCTAAAGTTACTTGATCTTCGTGATGATATGATTCCATAGTTTATTAAATATATTTACAACTTTCCCTCACTTGAATCTCGACTAACGAATAATCAGCACACATCATAATGAATGTGGTATTATAAGATTTTGACTACTGCTGGAATGTCAAAATATGAAAATCAGGAATTTTAGAAAAAGCTATTTATTTAAGTAACCACTTATAAGCACTTTTTCTGTATTATCCTAAGGCATCTAACTGCAAGAGGAAGTGATTAACTTTTTTTCAGTGGAATAAATGGTACACAATTCACTTTAGAAGTTGACAATCATCAGAGGTAGGATTTGTTTGTAATTTGCCTTCTTTGTTCAGTGAAATAAAGCTTTGATTTGTTTCTTTCTAGGATCATTTTTTTACTGCAGTTTGTATTACTTATTCAAAATGAAATCACTGTTGTATGAGTTTAATCTCATACTGTGTAAATTAAACAAGGAGAGCCCATTTATTCTGAAAGGTTAAACATTAGCACGGTTGAATCGTGATGTGAAGTTTTTTATGAATCTGAATATGTAAACACCGACGAATTATATGAAGCTTATTCAAATGAGTTTTAAAAATGAAATTCTCAAATTCTTACTCACTTTAGCTTCGTCCAACAGTGCTTGCAGGTCACTAGATCCTCGAACTTCATTCAAAATTTTAACAGCAACGCAGAGTAGTTTATAGTCTTTATTAGCCTTGTCAGTTGTTTGGGAACTACTTCCACTGCTGTGACTTTTAACATCATCTTCACTGGGCACTGAATGAACATCTTTTTTCATATTACTAGGTGTTTTTTCAGCATCTAACGTGTTACTTCCACTTTCTTGAGTAACAGTCGGTCCCGTTTGTTTTGTTGTCGGAGAGTTTGTCGAACTAGTGAGGATGGCATTGTTTTTTTGTGCGTTAACTTTAAACATTAACTCTTCTTCACTGGTCGCTTCAAGAACATGATTTAAATTTGGTAGATTAGGATAATCAGTCTGTCTCACTTTCCATATACCTTGATAGACTGCGCCAAACGCACCTGTGCCCAAGGGACCTGACTTCTCATTTAAACAAAGATCATCTAAGTTGATCATAATTAACCTACCAAGATTTGGTGCCTTCTGACCGTTCACAATCTATTGACGCAGGAAAAAAATGTAGAATTATGCAAATATCAGCTAAGTGTAATAAAATTTAACTATAAATTCACAAATGACGGAAAGGCTGTGACTGCAAAAGTTATGTGCTTATTGCAGTATACAGCTAGCAAACGTGACTCATCAGTCACTGAAACCAATAGTTGAATCGATGTGGTCCAGTTGAAAACATACTCCTATGGCATAAGACTACAGAAAGGTATATTTCTATTCCAAAATATTCGCCTGAAACTAGAATTCATAGTTTAAACGTTGTATTAGGCAAATTGAGGATGTGACGATTAGTTTGGAATTTTCCCAGGCGGATTACGCAACCATGATAAAACACTCGGTAATTTTTCAAAGTTCTTTCACATTACAAAGTGGCTCTTGACTAATGAAAAAAATAAGCCCGCATAATACATATGTCAAATTCAGCTGAAATACTGAATCAAACACTTACCTGATTTGGATAACGATGAGATCCCGTTAAGCTAGATCTCCTTAGCACACTATCCTCCTGACATATGTTTTGCGTCTGGTTTGTGTTCATTCCATTTTCATTGCTGCCAGTACTGTGAGGACAGTTTGTTGAAGGTGAGCTGTTAATTAAACTGCCCTTCTTGTATTTGTATTCGATTATATTGGATCCAAAACGTTGGGAAATAAACGATATTGGACAAAACAACAATTTCAACAATATTAATGGATTGTGCTCATATTTTTTAATGTACCGATGATTAGAGTGATAACGGTAGCATATAAATATAAGCGTTGCAAATATTAGTAAAGTAATGCATAATGGTATCATGATTAGTATGATTGGATCATTTTTTAATTTACGATGCATAATACTACCATTTACAGATGAAAATGTCGATGAGGACTTCCTGAACCCAATGAGAACTCCAGGGGCATCCTGCTGAGACTGTTGACCAGTGTTGGATTGAACATAGTTGTCAAAGTATTGAAATGGATATAAATTATCCTGAATCAGCAAATGACTATCAGTATCACTTAAATAATCACTATAATGACAAATGGTTTCACCATCCATTTCAGGTATATTGTCAATATGATGTTTAAGTTCCTCTGGACACCGTGGTAGACAAATAAACTTTCCATGATACATGTGTAAATTCATACTGTTCATTTCAGCCTACAAATAAACAAATAAATTGAGAAACGTGAAAGCGATTTTATTAAATATTGTGGGATCGAAGAAATAGATCACTCACTCGTCAGATACCTTAAAACCACTTGTATCCGCTTATAAACTACTTCAGATAAATCCCAGAAATATATTTATATATCTATAGTGGATGTTCTGTACAAGTGATTACCTATATTTCAGAGTATTACTGCATTATGGCACATACTCAAAGAGTTAAGTTTCAATTCGTAAGCTGAATAAAGACCTAAAGAAATCTCATAAGGATTGTTCAAATGGAAGTAATATTCATTATTGAATGTGTTTATATCAATCACTGCTTTCTCATTTTCTTTTCGTTTTTATTGTTCCTGTTTAATGTATGTGTAAAACGTGGCCTGTAGCTAATACCATATTAAGAACACAATATTCGGCGAAGAGACTATTTTCAACGAATTTAATTTGTTTATTAGATTTATCTATCACACAGTGAAACAGTATTAGTTACTGGGTGACATTAAGAACACATCTTATTGTTCATAATCACATCAACTGTGTGATACATGCAATAAAAATAATCAAATTGTTCCTTCCTACTTTTTTGTTTATCAGTTAACCTGAAAGACAGAAGTATAGACTATCTTACTCAAAAAAATATATAAAATGCCTTTGCAACTAATTGATGCACTAAAACGTCTTGCTCTTCTGTAAGTAGTGGGAGAACTAGTCTCATGCACACTGTTTGCTAGGAAATTTACTGCCTTTCAATATTTTAGGGGTTTTGAGTGTCAGTTCGCTGAGATCTATTTGGTTACAGGATTCTATCATAATAGTATAAGGTGTTGAATAAACCAAGTAATTTCGCCTATTCATCACTGGAAGACACTTTATTTGCCGCAGATTCTAAGTAAACACTAAAAACCGTCAGTGTATGTTTATATTCAGATAGATTGGTGATTTGAATGATATCAGTCTTACTGAGTACTGCTGTATGCGTTTTCTGTGTTCCAGATTATAAGAGAGGTGGTTAGCGATTCTTAATTTTCATCTGTTATAGACTGAGCATAATTTAAGTGTTTCTAAGTATTATCCAAGAGTTTAGGATATGAGTAAAATGATCACACTAAGTTCCCTATTATTATTTTCTGAATGTTGAAGCACTGATATTGAAGTTCCCAAAAACCTGCACACCTGTTCACTTTATTTAACAAATGAAAACGGAGCTTTGTGATCAATCGCAGCATGAAATTATTGAAGTCCACTAATGAAGTATTTTATTCATTAATACACTTGTCTAAAAGGCTAATAATTCACATTATTTTTTATCAGTAATATTAGGAAGTCAAGTGGCATTCGGGGAAAATGCACTTTGCATTTTTAAATTTGAATGTTTGTTCAGGTTGAGAGTGTATTGTCTTAAACAAGTAACTGAGAGAATTTCTACCGATAGGTTCAAATAAGTCTACAGAAACAATTAGCCGTTATACTCTGTGCTGAGCACAAATCTCACTAAAGGTATTGAATAAAGGGTGGATTTTGATAATAATGTGAAACATTTCAAATGTACACTTGTACTTAAGTTAGATTTTGCATACATATTTCTTCTATTAAGTATGAATACTGTGCTAGATAGTTAAATTGAATTCTTGGTGTTGGAAAATCAGGTGATTTTTCTAGATCAAAGGATTCGTTTACAACTTGGTTATGAATAAACACTGGCTAATCGCAAGTAGATTAACTACTTCCTAACTTTGGCTTAATTCTTGTTACGTGCAAACAAATACAGTATCATAACACTCACTAGTGGTCTTTCTTCTTCCGTCTGTATCATACCGTAAATTTCAGTTAGATTTTTGGACAAGAACCTCACTGGTACCTTGACGTTGAGACAGTGATTGCATTGATCTGGTTCAGGACCCCAGCATCCAGCATGACATTGTTCATGACAAGCTAAACAACGTCCATTGAGATGTCGTATATGAACACCATTATCTTTTGGAGTCATTCCGTTTAAACTTACGCTTTTCTGTGAGACTTCCTGAGTTATACCTTCATTATAATTAATCCAAAGGGAATACGTTTGATCTGTAATATTTGAAAAGAAATCATTCAAAAAATGTTTATATCTACTCAGAAGTAGTTAAACTGTTTGCTTCAACTAAACGTCCATAAGATAAACCCCTAATCCCTGTTAGGCAGAAATGCCTGCATATAAAGAATATTTACTTTGTGTATTTGACTAAAAGGAGTAGGACGTGATCGAATAAAAAGTAGTGTCTTCATTTAAACATGGTACCGATGTAAACACTAATAAGAGCTATGGTGTATATCTATAACACTGTTTCTCTTAAACTTACTGTGCACCGATATATATATATATATATAAAGAAATAATTAGTCTGATTTTTGGCTTACAGGTTTATGACTACAACACTGGGCTCCCGAATGCCCAGTAAACATTTTATTTTCATTGCTAATCAGGACATATTCATGTAGGAGTAGACTTTTGGCACTGCGATAAAGTATAATCCTATGTCGAAATATTTTTATATGATAAAAACACAATGATACAGTATTATTTACTGATGACGTTTCAAGCAAAGTTTATCGCTCACAGTCATATTTATGACCTCACGTGACTTTCAAACTTTTTTATATAACTTCAGCATTTCTTATCTATTAATTTTATTGGTAATGATCTTTTCTATTTCTCTGGTATTAGTGTTGCATCATTCCTTCTGTACGTGTCAAATGTAGATTTGATGAACAAAGATTCAGAGGTTAACCTCTTCATCTACCTATCTATAATACTTTAAAGACCTGTAGCTCTTCCCAATTCTGTTGTGTGATTCCGTGTTAGTGAATGCATTGAGGCCGCTGGATTTTTCTCTAAGCTAAGCCCAGGTGAAAGCCTAGTAAACTGAAAACAAAACACTCTAATTTGTACGTTAGAAACAGGTAAAAGTGTTTGTGCTAAATAACAATTGCATAAAACTGACCAGAAAATTAGGAATGTTACAACAAAAGAAAAATGGTGGTGAAATTGTTAATTATTACATAAATAAGAAGGAACTTGAGATATCTGAACCCCTATGTAGGATTCTTAATAAAACGGAAATTAGAATGTCATTTGAAAGTACAAACTAACTCAACGACAACTTCTGTCTACTAAAGGACCTTAGTGGTCCATTTAAACAAGATAAAATAATTTGCAGAATACCTTGCAATGACTGTGAGATTAACTTCATGGGTCATATTGGCAAGTCAGAGTCAGTCATGTGGCCGAAACGTTGGAATTTAGCTAAGTATAGAAAATTCAACAATAGAACTGCATGCGCGAATACAGAGTCACACAACAGGATTGGACAGAGCTGCAGTTTTTAGAAGTTTTATTAAACAAAGTTTGAAAGTTATGTGAGGCCATTAATATGATTATGACCAATAAACTGTGTGATTTTTATCATATAAAATTATCCCACGATTGAATAATCACGTATCGTCTGATTTTTAATTGTATCATTGATTGAATATTCACGAAATAGTAATAGATTTATTCAGAATTGTACTAAAGATAAGTATAATTAGTATTTACCTGTGGGACAATGTTCTACACATGTGTCTCTGAGCCAATATCCGTTGCACTGGAGACAACCCAGACGCTGTTCACTGGCTCTTAGTAAGCTGTGTGCTGTACATACTGGGCACCTTGGATGACACGGTCGACATACAGCAGCGACACTGGTGAAGGTTTCCGCGTACTTTGCAAACAGAGTGTTTGGTTGGATTATTTCAGTTGTCAGATAAGTTCCAGGCGGACAATCACCTCTGACACATAGCAGGCTAACAGCAGCAGACATAGATGACAAATCTAGTTTAACCAGAAAAGCATTTATAAAAAGCATTGAATATGAAGTTTAATACAGAATACCTGAGCAATTAGACATAATTATCAACTTATAAACAATAACAACACCCTGCTATCCTTCCTTACATTTCATGTTAATAGTTTAATGTTTAGTGCTGATTTCTACCAAATATATTTAAAGGTATTTATTGGAACTAGTGTTCATAGAGGTCGTTGTCTGTAAATACATGTTTACTACCATTCTATCATTTGGAATGTAATTTCATTGTGCGATACTGTAATGTTTTATGATGTTAATGAAATCGACTGAAATTTCAGAGCATCATGTCACCTCTGCTTCTGTGACTATGACATTTTAAGAGTAACTGACAAATTTCGCTTTCTTATTTTGACACTAGCCAGTGACTGTCAACTAATAATATCTTCTCACAATGGCTTAATTCTAGACTAACATATTTTGGGAACTGTAGAAAATGCATAAAATTTTGGACTAAGGACAGCGAGAATTAGTAACTGTAACAGAAATGCAAAGAATCATACATAAATAATCCAAATTTAACTGACCCGTAATTTCTTTATTCGGTTGATTGAAGGGAGACTGAATTATAAACTTCTCGCATTTATTACATCCTCCTTTCCCTGGATGTCGACCAGGACCTGTGCATACAGGCTGCTTTGTGATTTGACGCTGATGGCAATGAGTTTGACATGGTTCACAAATTCTTCTGTCCATATTTAAATAAGTGTTGGGCTGACATTCTGAGACGCACTGACCATCTGACTGAAGATATTTTTATTCAAAAAGTTCAATTGGTTTTGAGATTCGTATTCAGACAAAAGTAAAATCAATATTCAGTAAAATACTCAATATACATTAAAACTTTCATCGACAATCTTGACAAAGTAATTAAAGACATTTTCTTTTCCGAGATGTTCATGCAGACTTGTAAGATTCTTCACAAATAACCATACCTTATTTACATTCATATTTATTCTTAAAGATTTAGTTGCCTTATTGCAACAGGGTACTGGAAAACACCGGTAAAAACAGCTTGCAAGTATTTTGTTAAACATAAAACACTGGGTAACTTGCTTTCCAACTTACCCAAGCTGTTTTGCACGACCCGATGCACTCATGGGCTCCAGGCCCTGTACAGGATTTTCCGCATTCTTTATGGCATGGAATACAAACATTTTCAGCATCAGGTGTATAATAATAACTTAAAGCTGAAGTTTCATCTGAAATCTCTTTGGAATACTTCTTATTTTCATCCTTGTTCAGTTTAATTTCCCATTGTTCTGACATATATCCTGGCAGGTCATTACATGATCGAACACATGTATGCAATCCTGCTCTACGATAGGCACAACGTACACACTGATTCGGCCCTGGTCCCCAGCATCCATATTCTTCTTTACATGCAGGATGGCATATATGGCCAAAAGATTCTAAAATTCAAATCAATTGAATAAAAGCAAAAGTGTATATAGTAAAATATTTTCTTACACTTATTTGAGCACTTGTCACTCAGTTTTGAAGTCAATTACGGATTAATTTTGTAGAAACAGATAAAATTAATAAACGAGGCAGTATATAATATTTCTTGTGGCTGTAATGTTTCTAGTGCTAATAAGACACGCTGGCAAGGACCGTCAATAAGTATAAAATTCTGCCAGCTCATCATTGATATCTAACAATAAATTACACAGTTTCTCATGTTTCTTGACCCTTGATTATCACATTTCAACACTGATCATTGTGACACTGTGGGTCTGAGAAGGAAAGTGAAACTAATTATCAGCAGAGGACTTTACTTGTAAATTCATAAATTAAAGTTTCCTAGCTTCACAAAGGCATGCATAGAAGTAGGAAAATAAATGCAACGAAATTAAAGCAAGCGGGAAATTATCACGGAAAAGACAGTCACTTGAAGAGTGATAAGGACTTTCAGAATTTCAGAGATAAGCAGGACTGAATATGTTTGTGCAGTTCAGAACTATTTTGAGCCATTTTACTAACAGTTAGCAACTACTGATTCTTTGCAACTTGAGGACGCTGTTAGGCAGTTTACGTTCCCAGACATGTTTCGAACCAACAATCAAAGACTTCATGGAATGGTGCCATAAACTTCTGTGACCACACCTAACTCTTTTTCAACCTAATCCTATGTCAGGCAACATTTCTTTTACGGAAAGGCATTTGTTTTGCATGGCAATTTTGTTTTCTTCGCAATAAACTGGAGTCATCAACCATTCGTACCATTCAGTTTGGAGTTACACACATAACCTAATACCTAAATTAATCCAGTCAGTAACTCATAATCAACACTGTTAATTTTATTCCCAACTATTATAGAGCCTGAGGAAGTTGTTGACGAAAACTGTTAGGTTCAATCTATCTTGTTCCTAATAAACTATGGATGTCCTCAAATCCATCATTATATTTGTACTTATTGCTTGTAAGAAAACAGGTGATATCTGAACGAAAGTGTATTAAGCGGTCACCGTTGTCATAGTCTTGGAACCCCATAGATACTAAAAATATACTTTTCGGAATAGTCCAGCTTTTGTGTTTCAGTAATAAAATCATTAGTATAAGAATAAGCTATACTCATTGCTTCATAAAATGAGTCGTCATCATAGTGTTATAATCAGTTGTAATGACTGAAATTTGTATTCCTCTTAATCACATTACTGTTAAAGGGAAAACAAAATTACCGCAATAATTTCCACTGGGACCATCGATGATGGTAATTTGCATAGAGCTTGTTTGATTCAGTGTACCAGAGATGTTTTTATGCGCTGAAATGAAAAAAATTAATATGTCTCATTTAATTACAACATGAGGTACAGATGGTACAAATTCATCTGATGCATACAAAAGACAAAAATGCCAGTGAATGTACTGGTAGCATACAGTTTTCAAATGATAAAAATAAACAGGATGATCCATTGAGAACTTTCTGGTCCTATCTGATGCTTTACATATTTAATCTTATCATATAGTAAATAACAAAAACCATTGTGTTTCAACAACAAAAGATGCTGTGTATAGATTGTTTATTCTTTGAAAGAATCAGCTGGTATTATTTGTCTATTAAATAATACGGGTCATCTTACAAAAATGTAAGAAGAAAAAAAATGTTTTGGGTTTTACCTATTTTGCTTTCACGATCATTACTGAAATTATTCACTCAACTAATTCAAGTTATAAGATATGATTCCATTCAAACGACACACCAAATATGTAGAAATTTGCCTAAAGATTATATCTGCATTCATCTTATTTCATGATTCCAACTTAGAAATTACTGAATTTTCAGATCACATTGATAATTCCTGGGAAGAAGTTGGTTACTTTGCTTTGACCTCCAATTTAATTTTTTTTTTAAATGTCAGTGGTGTGATTAATTGGTTACACTCTGATGAAGTAAACAGCATATATTACAACAGATCAGCCTGCTTTCTTGTGCAATTTCATAAAACGTTAGTATTTTCAGTTTACCTGTCAATTATCTATGGTAAGCATGGTGCAGCGTAGCTGAAATCAGTATTACTTATAATAACTGACGAATATGTTATCTAGTGTTTATGTGAATCGATTACAAACTGATTTGTGGAGGTGTGTTAGCAAAAAGCTGTATTGACAGTGAATTCAGTCAGTATCAGTCTATAGTGGAAGATAAGTGTGTAAATAAAATAGAACCTTTGGTCTTTAGTCATTCATATTTTTATAACATTATTTGCTGACGTATATTTAAAAATAAAGGTATTAAATATGCTCTAGTCAGCAAGCCACTTGCATAGATGAAATCGCTTCACGTAAATATTTCATGATATCAATAATTTCTTAGTATGCTAAAATACTGAGCTTTTGAAGGTCTAAATATTATTTGGATACTTTTCAGGTGTAGCTCATTTGGGTTTTTGCCGATTTTGCAAAATAACTCGTGAAATGGTTTTCGATAACAGATTGTATTCAAAACGTTATTCAGTGAATAAAACTACTTCAGTATTTGCCGTAGCTAACAAACCACTAAGACAATTTGGAATTTAGTAAGCACTAAACGCCTTATTTCTTAATATTATTGATTAGGATCAATCCAAGTTTGGAAATGTTAGGAAGAGGCAAAACACATGCAATTGTCAAGTTATTAGCGTGTCGTTGACATGCATTGTTTCTGCTTTCTGATTGGACGTTTGCACAATTCCAAACTCTCAACCGGATTGGTTGATTTCCAGTCTACATTATTTTTGTATAAATACAGTCACTTTTGTCATAAATAAATGATTCTGGTTTTACCGCTGATTATCGCGTGTTCTGCTTTACCAGTTAAGTGGGCACTGGTCAGTAGTTAAGCTGTTACCTCGAGACAAAGATCTAGCATCATAACAGGAAATTAGTCAATGTGAAACAAATTTTATTCACTTTAACCTTAATATTGTTATTTTCGCAAGTAGAACTGAATTCTACATATTACAACAGTCCTAACACTAATTCTAAAACTCATTAAACATCCCACAGTGATAGGAATGAATTGAAAATAATTCGAGGCAAAAAATGAAACTGACTATGCTGGTCGTGAATCTACCCGGTTGAATAACTAGAAAATATTCTAAAAAAAAATTGAATGTAGTTGTTGGGATGAACACTTTCTGCACAGTAATGGAGGCAGACTTAGCCTAATAATTATCCTCAATCTTATCAAGTGTTGATTTGTAGCGGTTTGACTGATTCCAAGGTAGATTTCTTCGAGAAATGACATGATTTAGAGGACGAAGGAAGTCAGGGAGCACCGGATAGCTGTTTCCTCATTTTAACTCTGAGATGAATCAAATGCTAACATTTTGAATTTACCGGATAGATGGAGATCGTTTATAACTCTATGTTGGATGAAAAGTGCTTTCAGTGAAAGTAACGAGCGGATTAACAGTCTCTGAAGAAGCGGAATCTACGAAAATACAAAAGAATTTTTTGCACTTTTAGTCTTTATTTATGAAAGAAATAAAGTGTTTAGGGATTTCTTGAGGAAATAATTTGAAGTTCATGGCCCTGAGGTAGGTTTAGAAGCCTCTTATGCTTAACCTAAGAGCTCAGTGAGTTATAAACGAAGCAATTTGTACAGAAGTCAATCACAAGAGGCCACCAAGCTACAAAAAATACAAAATTAGGTGGGAGAAGCAAAATTATACCGAAATTGACAAACATGTGTGTGATGTACATAGTCGTAAATGATTAATGAACATTTCAAATATCTGGAGTATGATAAGGATTAGATATATCTCCGTTAATATAAACGAATTTGAACCATGTGATTATAACACACAAACAATTTGTGGATGGCTTAGACGAACATTCAAAAGATTTATAGAGCTTCGAAAGAAATCTTTGTTGTTGTAAAAATCATGGAGTCTACGACGGACTTTATTTATAGCAGATTTACATTGATTTGATTATTATTCAGCTACTGTAAACTGATTAATAAATTGAATCGTAAACAGGTTTGACGATATTTACTTGAAGAGCTTGTCTACATGTTCTGGCTCATTCACCAGTCACTGACCATTAGTTTCTCACAACACAAATCTGAATACTAAATACAGATGTCCTGTTCAATTCAACTGGCTCTTACTTATGACATATACATTGGAATTAAATGCTCTTAAAACAGGACTCGTGCTCAGTAGAAACCATAGGTCAAAAAGCCTTGAAGTACAATAAATAAGTACTTCATAATTGAAATCAGTACTTTAAGGTAACTATAAATTAATTAACTCTCTTTTTAAAAGTTTATAAAGTGATATTTTTATGACGTATGAAAACACGTAGTTGGAAGCCTTTCAAAAACCGAGATATTTAAAAAGGATAATAACAGTAAATTTATCTCACCTGAATTCACCCAAGGAAGAGTTTGTAAGTAGCACAAATATGGATTCTTATGAAATATAATACTACCATGTGGAACTTGTCTTAAACTTCGTAGTCCTGGAAAGTATGCTCTACTATTCATGATCATCATACTGACCCGTGCAGACGGCACTAGAAATTAGGATAATGATGAAAGAAAACAAGACTATAAAAAATATTCAGTTAAAATTTGCAAACGAATTTTATACTCACTTCATTTATGTTGACTAGATAACTTAATTAATGTTAAACACACTTCAATCCATGCAAAATTTACGTATAAGGTAGTTTGCTACTCGGTAACTTGAAGTAGTATAACTATCTTATAAAATAAAGTTAACAGTCGGAAAAAGTCAACATGCAAATACAGTTTGCAGTACATCGGTTTTTCTGCAAACAAAAGTAAACTGTTATGTACATTTTCTTTTCGACGAAATCATTAACTAGGCTGTACATTCGTGTATTTATAATAAGTGGGTAAGAAAGTCCCAGAATAATTTCTATTGAAAATCAGTTCAGTGTGAACTTATTATATCTTGAATAGTACTCCGAAGGTGTACATAATAGACAGTAAAAATCATATATGAGGCACAAAAAATCCCTATTTTCGATAAATCTTGATAAATCCCCTCTACAACAAATAGCTGAGGGGATAGGCATTCGAACTATAAGCCTATACTATGCATTCAAAAGAAGTTCGCATAACCTTATGACTCCCTTGGACTATTAAGACGTAGCCAACTGATGACTCCTCTAACACCTTAATTTTACAAGATTCGATCAAATCTATCAAAGGGAGTAAAATTAAGGCATCTGGGTCGAGCCGAGGTACTAGCCATCCTAAAGCTCAAACCCATGCTATGTATCCAAAAGAAATACATCCAACAGTTGTCTCTGCCATGGCTATCATAAACAGGTAATTCTTTTAATAGTGACTATCTCATTGCCTTTCTTATCCAAACTTCCTGTTTATTCATATTATTTTTAAGTTTTCTCAATCCCTACTTACACTACCACATTTTCATATCCGAACTTCTTGTCTGTTTTGTCATTTTATTATTTCTACATATTTAATCCCTAATTGCATAAACAACTGTTCGTCACATTAGTTATGATCCCACTAGATTTTTTTTTACCTAAACATCCTGTCTATTTTGTAATTTCTACATTTCTAACACCTAACTGTACAATATGTCAATCCTCTCAGTAATTATAGTGCTATTTTGTTTGAGTTTTATCTGTCCCCCTGTTTATTATGAGATTTTAATTCCTAATTGTAATTTTATTAATTTAACCCTTGACTGGAAATCATTCTGGAACTTCCCCGCCCATTTATTATAATTACACGAATGTACAGTCTAGTTGATGACTTCGTCAGAAAGAAAATTTTCTTCGCTGCAACTGTCTTTTTATTATTCCCTATGATGATGTTTTTCTTTATTTTTGTTATCACATTTCCTCTTACTTTTTCATCCTTGTTATTGATAGAATCATTATTATTATTATTACCATTATTATTTCTGTTATGACCGATTGCACAATTCAGATGCACAGTATTATTATTATCCTATTGACAAAACACTGTGATTAGTTTATAATCGAATATTTATTTGTAAAGACCTGATGAGATCTAATTGAGAAAATTACTGTTCTCTTAAATGTGTTGTTCTAAATCTTGACTAACAATTTACCTGAATTGAAAAACGGTGGTTGCTAGCATGAAATTAGCCCCAAAAGTTCATACAGTGATAGACCTAAGCTAAGGAATTCTCTTAATCATTTCCCCATAAATAAAATGGTAGCAGATATGAAAACTCAATCGAACTTATTAATTCTTAAGGATGGTATAATAGGCATGATAATTCTCAATATCTCTGCCTGAACTTCCATCAGTTTCAATTAATACAACAGTGCCTATTTTGATTCATAATTTACCTGGATTAGTTTACATCCGTGCAGAAAACTTGTGTTTACAGGATGTGGTAACTATCGATTCTTTTCAGCTCACAAGTTTGGGGTTCATTTACATGTGACAGAACATTCACAAGAAGAGAACAGTATATCCCCAAAGTGAAAAATATATCTGAACCATCAGTGGACTTCTGTAACTACCAGTTTAATACACAACAGAACTAGCTGTAAAGTGAATGATGAAATCTACCTTGCAAAACTGATACTTAGCTGTCTTCAACTACTTCAGCACTACAGAGTGCTCAACCTCACTAAACAGCTACTCAACGGAAAACTCAGTGAAAATTGTGAAGTGAAGACAGGAACAAGACAGGGCTGTCTACTATTATTATTATTGTATCCTTTAGTTCCTAGAGGAACATAGGGCTTCAGCTGCGCACCTCCATTGACTTCGGTTTTCTGACAACTTTTTCACCCTGCTCCAGGTCTGTCCACATGCTTTCATCTCCTCCTCGCATGACCTCCTCCAAGTCACCCTTGGACGACCAACTCGCCGCCTCCCTTTCGGGTTCCACTCGAGGGCTTGTCTTGTGATGTCACTTGATGGTTTCCTCAGCGTATGGCCAATCCATCTCCATTTCTTTCTGTCTATTTGTTTCACAATCGGTTCCTGATTGGTTCGCTCCCAGAGATCCGTGTTGCTGATCTTTTCTGGCCATCTGATCTTGAGTATTGAGCGGAGACAGCTGTTAATGAAGGTCTGAAGTTTGTTTGAGATGCTCTTTATGACTCGCCAAGTCTCTGATCCGTATAGTAGCACTGACTTCACATTGGAGTTGAAAATCCGGATCTTATTTTTGATGCTGATTGCTGTTGACCTCCACACAGATTTGAGAGTAATGAAAGCTTGTCTTGCCTTCCCCATCCTTGCTTTGATATCCTCATCAGTTCTGTCCGCCTGTAGTCGAAACGATGCCTCCCAGGTAGGTGAAGGAGGCTGTTTCTTTCAGGTTCTTCCCATTTATGCTTATTGTGGTCTCTGTTTTATCTATGTTCACGTGAAGTCCTATCTTTGATGCTTCTTCTGCCAACTTGTTGCTTTTCACTTGCATATCTTCCAGTTTATGGGAAATCAGACATATATCATCGGCGAAATCCAGATCCTCCAAGTCTTTTGTGTCAGTCCATTTTATGCCTGTTCCCTCGTTGGTTGCCGTTGTCTGTCGCATTATCCAATCAATTGCAATCAGGAAGATCATTGGTGATAGTAGACAGCCTTGCCTCACTCCCGTCCTCACTTCGAAGGCTTCCGTAAGTTTCCCGTTGTGGATTACTTGGCATGCAGCATTGTCGTATAACTGTTGGATGAGGTGTATAATTGTCGATGGGACTCCGTAGTAGCGAAGTAGTTTTCAAATGACCTCTCGATCGACGCTGTCGAAGGCCTTTTCAAAGTCGATGAAGTTGAGATAGAGAGGTGACTGCCATTCCAAGCTTTGTTCAATGATGATCCGTAGAGTGGCGATTTGATCAATACATGATTTGTTTCTCCTGAATCCAGCCTGTTCCGGACGAAGTTTTTCATCTAGGGCTTGTTTGATTCTCTCCAGGATGATGCGACTTAGTATCTTGCTTGGAATGGACAGAAGCATAATTCCACGCCAGTTTTTACATTGACTTAAGTCTCCTTTCTTTGGAAGTTTGAATAAGTAACTGTTCTTCCAATCCTCGGGTACTTTGCCCTCTTTCCACACCTTTTCCAGCAGTGGTGTCATCAAGTCCGCTGTTGTCTCTGGGTCTATTTTCAAAGCTTCTGCTGGGATTCCATCTGGTCCCGGTGTTTTCCCAGCTTTAAGCATCTTGATTGCATTCAGGACTTCTGATTTCGTCGGGGGGTCAGTGTTCACTGGTAGTTCTGATTCCGTTGTTGGTATTGCTGGACGTGTTGTAGGTGGCGGACGATTTAGAAGTCTTTTGAAGTGTTCAACCCAGTGCTTTCTCTGTTCCACCTCTTTGGTGATTGACTTTCCATTGTCGTCCTTTATTGGCTTAATCTGTGTCGAACGTTTGCCCGAAAGGTTCCTAGTTTTTGATGTGGTTTTGTTCTCTGAGCTGGATAGTTAGTTTGCGAAGCTTTCATCACCTTACTGGGTGACATCTTCAGCGCATACTTCAAATTGAAGTGAGCTTTTAGGTTTCTCCACGAGTTTATTAATCATTCCTCCTGGTGACCTTGGACGTGATTGGTTGTTTATGTATGTTTTCACACCTTCTAGGTTACTTGTGTTGGAACTGATTGTTTCTGTGACTTGAACTTTGGCCAATCGTGTGTGAAGTTTCTTTCTTATTGGTTGATAAATTTTGTCTATCTCGATGTGTCTATTGATTGATGATTCACTGGAATGCCAAGCTTCTAAAAATTCTCTAGCATTCTTGTTATTTCCTTTGTCTAATATTTGAACGTTGTCCCAGTCGAATTGATGTCCGTGGTTGTCTGTGTGTAGTGAAATGAGGGAGTGTATATCATGTCTTTTGACGGCTAGCTTATGTTCGTGGATACGAAGACGAAGGGGACGTCCACTTTGGCCAATGTAGTGTTTTTCACAGTTGTTACAGTTTATTTTGTAGATGATGTTGGTTTTGTCTTCTTTTGCTGTTGAGTCTTTTGGTTGACATAGAATTGAGTGCAGCGACTTTGTTGGTTTGTGTACGACGTCAATTCCTAAAGGTTTGAAGAGTCTTTTAGTGATTTCTGAGATATCCTTTATATATGGTAAGGCGATTTTCTTTGTGTTTTCCTTGGTGGCTTTTGTTTTGGTAGGTTGGCTTGGGGGTATATGTCTCTTGATGAAATTCCGGGGATATCCATTCTTTTGGAAGACGTCCATGAGATACTTTTCTTCAATTTTTCTTAAGGTGGGAGTGCTGCAGTGAGTCCTTGCTCTCTTGAATAGTGTTTGTATGCAGTTCCTTTTGTGTGCTATTGGGTTGTTGCTGTTGTAATTCAGTATTTGGTCTGTGTGAGTTGATTTCCTATAAACTTGAGTTTCTAATTCTCCTGTAGTTGTTCGCCTGACTAAGACGTCCAAAAATGGTATTTTGTTCTCGGATTCCTCTTCTCTTGTGAATTTGATGTCGTTGAAGACGTTGTTTATTAAGTTGTGAGTTTTGTCTAATTCGTTTCTTTTGATTATTACAAATGTGTCGTCGACGTAGCGTATCCAAATCTTGGGTTTGATCTTTGGTAGAATTATGTTTTCGAGTCTTTGCATCACTGCTTCTGCAATCAAACCTGATATTGGCGATCCCATGGGTGTTCCTTTGACTTGTTCATATATTTGGCCGTTGAATTGGAAGTATGTTGTTAGGCATAGATTTATGCATTCCATCCAGCTTGTGTGTTGCATTTTTGATTGTTGTGGAAGTTGTTCGTCGTTGCTAAGTAATTGCTCCATGGTTTCTTTTGCTAGTTTTTGTCCGATAGAGGTATATAATGCTGTCACGTCGAAGGATACCATTATTTCTTGTTCATCTATTTGGATGTCTCTGATTTTCTCTAGGAATTGGATAGCAGAGTTGATGGAGTGATCACAGGATTCCGTTAGGTGTTTTAGTTTTCTGTATAATTCCTTGGACAAATTATATGTTGGAGTTCCTGGGAGTGATACAATTGGTCGTAACGGGATATTTGCCTTGTGTATTTTGGGTCTGCCGTAGAATCGAGGTAGGACTGGTCCATTGGATTTCATTCGCCATTGGTCTTGTTTTGTGATCTGTCCAGTTTTGCTGAGCTTGTTTAAGGTCCTTTGGATGCGGTTGTCCAATGTTTGTATGGGATTTGTTGGGAGTTGTTGATATACATCTTCATCTTTGAGTAGTTCTTCAGCTTTCTTGGTGTATTCTTCTCTGTCCATGACTACTGTTGTTCTTCCTTTGTCGGCTGACAAAGGAAGAACAACAGTAGTCATGGACAGAGAAGAATACACCAAGAAAGCTGAAGAACTACTCAAAGATGAAGATGTATATCAACAACTCCCAACAAATCCCATACAAACATTGGACAACCGCATCCAAAGGACCTTAAACAAGCTCAGCAAAACTGGACAGATCACAAAACAAGACCAATGGCGAATGAAATCCAATGGACCAGTCCTACCTCGATTCTACGGCAGACCCAAAATACACAAGGCAAATATCCCGTTACGACCAATTGTATCACTCCCAGGAACTCCAACATATAATTTGTCCAAGGAATTATACAGAAAACTAAAACACCTAACGGAATCCTGTGATCACTCCATCAACTCTGCTATCCAATTCCTAGAGAAAATCAGAGACATCCAAATAGATGAACAAGAAATAATGGTATCCTTCGACGTGACAGCATTATATACCTCTATCGGACAAAAACTAGCAAAAGAAACCATGGAGCAATTACTTAGCAACGACGAACAACTTCCACAACAATCAAAAATGCAACACACAAGCTGGATGGAATGCATAAATCTATGCCTAACAACATACTTCCAATTCAACGGCCAAATATATGAACAAGTCAAAGGAACACCCATGGGATCGCCAATATCAGGTTTGATTGCAGAAGCAGTGATGCAAAGACTCGAAAACATAATTCTACCAAAGATCAAACCCAAGATTTGGATACGCTACGTCGACGACACATTTGTAATAATCAAAAGAAACGAATTAGACAAAACTCACAACTTAATAAACAACGTCTTCAACGACATCAAATTCACAAGAGAAGAGGAATCCGAGAACAAAATACCATTTTTGGACGTCTTAGTCAGGCGAACAACTACAGGAGAATTAGAAACTCAAGTTTATAGGAAATCAACTCACACAGACCAAATACTGAATTACAACAGCAACAACCCAATAGCACACAAAAGGAACTGCATACAAACACTATTCAAGAGAGCAAGGACTCACTGCAGCACTCCCACCTTAAGAAAAATTGAAGAAAAGTATCTCATGGACGTCTTCCAAAAGAATGGATATCCCCGGAATTTCATCAAGAGACATATACCCCCAAGCCAACCTACCAAAACAAAAGCCACCAAGGAAAACACAAAGAAAATCGCCTTACCATATATAAAGGATATCTCAGAAATCACTAAAAGACTCTTCAAACCTTTAGGAATTGACGTCGTACACAAACCAACAAAGTCGCTGCACTCAATTCTATGTCAACCAAAAGACTCAACAGCAAAAGAAGACAAAACCAACATCATCTACAAAATAAACTGTAACAACTGTGAAAAACACTACATTGGCCAAAGTGGACGTCCCCTTCGTCTTCGTATCCACGAACATAAGCTAGCCGTCAAAAGACATGATATACACTCCCTCATTTCACTACACACAGACAACCACGGACATCAATTCGACTGGGACAACGTTCAAATATTAGACAAAGGAAATAACAAGAATGCTAGAGAATTTTTAGAAGCTTGGCATTCCAGTGAATCATCAATCAATAGACACATCGAGATAGACAAAATTTATCAACCAATAAGAAAGAAACTTCACACACGATTGGCCAAAGTTCAAGTCACAGAAACAATCAGTTCCAACACAAGTAACCTAGAAGGTGTGAAAACATACATAAACAACCAATCACGTCCAAGGTCACCAGGAGGAATGATTAATAAACTCGTGGAGAAACCTAAAAGCTCACTTCAATTTGAAGTATGCGCTGAAGATGTCACCCAGTAAGGTGATGAAAGCTTCGCAAACTAACTATCCAGCTCAGAGAACAAAACCACATCAAAATTATCCACCTGAGCTACAAATCTTCTCTATCATATCTAAAGGTTCCTAGTTGTTTGGTAGAGTGTGGCGAGGTCTCCTTTGCCTGCAGCTTGTTCTACTTCGTTTGCCATGGTTTCATAATATTTTCTTTTGTCTTCCCTGGCACTGGATTAGATGAGAGACTGTGAGAGGTGAGAAGACAGGACCACGCTTGGCCAATAAGGAGACTTTAGAACATCTGAACTTCTCGCACGATTTAATTCTGATGGCACATAAATTCAAAGATTTACGGGCAAAAATCAACAAACTGGCAGAAGAAGCAGCAAAGACGGGACTTAAAGTGAATGGAGATAAGACGCAGGTGATAAAAATAACTAACCAACAATAACAAGCATCAATCACTATCAACAGAAGAAATTTGAAAGAGATTACTTCCTTGACTTATCTAGACAGAATCGTTTCAACTACAGGTGGAACGTACGAATATTTCAAAATCAGAACCAGGAAGGCAACACAGATATACATCACTCTGAAATCAGTTTAGAAGTCTTCAGCACTCAGCATAAAGAATAGAATCTGGATTTTCAAGGCGAATGTTAAGTCAGACTTTTGAGTGATATCGCTCATGAGACCATAGCTTGAGTGGTACCCGAATGGCAAACGATGAGTTTGGCGTGGGTCCAAGAGTGACACGGAGGAGATTATGTGAGAAGGAGATGAGAGTCTATGAGCAGTGGCGGAGCCAGCTAAAGAGGATTGCAGAAGATAGGACAAATGGGGATGCGCTAGGAACCCAAGGGAATAATATCAATATCCATAAATAATTAACTACCGTATACAAAATGTAGTTAATGTTTACAATTGGTAGACATAAATGGTGTACCCCTAATAGTCTGACAGAACAATGCGGGATAAATCTATCATAATTTTCTATTGAATATGCAGTAAGCAATATTTAGGAAATACTGTGCAGTTAGATGTTCACATAGGTTCAGTATATAATGGTGGACATTCAGTCATAAGACCTAATGGCTGCTGAAGATGTCAATAAACTGAGCAGTGAAAACCCATTCTAATCCATCAAGTCGTACAGAGTGGCAAAGCACTGAATATAGCAACAACAAAACTTCAGTAAAAGTAGAGTCTGGGTCGATGAGTTCATATGAGGAAGCTACAAAGTTATAGGATATTATCAACTAGATGAGCTTTCCGAGTACAACATACTGATCACAAACATACCAACTGATATATTTTGGTAAAGAAACGTATAAATAACAGATTCTGAGCTATCGAAGACATCCTTTATTCATAGCTTCGCGTAGGTGTTTATAACACCCGCTGCTCAAGCCTCAAATTACTGCAACTTATTATTAGTATCTTTACATCTTGAAACTCAAAATAAGTCAACGTTAAATTAGTGGATAAAAAACACAACAAATAAATCAAAGTATCCATTTCAGGGAGACATAACTAATAATGTACCTGTTTCGCTTAAACACCTCTGTTACTCTAACAGAGTAAAATTAATAAATTTTAAAATTTCCAGTAACTGGCAGCATTCCTTTACTGTTGAAAATAAATGTAACACGGATGCATTTAGTCTGTTTATAAGGTCCATCTTAAGTGGTTTATTCTGCTTTCGCATTTAACTTAAACTGTTTCGAAACTGTCACCAAACTATACATTTTCATAATATATTAAAGCATATTACTAAACTTACGATAACCACCAACTTTTGCGAGATTTTCAAGAAAACTGAAGTTTCTCAGACTGTCACCTAATGATTCTAAATCCAAATAAACATAACCGGTTATTTCACGTAATGAATGCAGTGCCCATAGTTGACGGTGATCGGTAATCGGAACATGTTCAGGTAGATCAGGACTATTGGGGAGTGGAAAAAAAGCATTGACAGAGTATTCGACAGATTTCAAATGTGTAAAACTGGTTTTATTTCTTGAAGACTAGTTCTTTGATAATCAAACAAACACAGTATTTGATATAATTTTAAACTTGCCTTGATTAATTGTTGAACGATAATACACATAGATTTATAAATGTAGAGCCTATACAGAAAGCAGTTTTTCGCCCAGATAATTTTTGTATTTAATATCGTATTGGGAATTGTTAACCTAGTTATGTCACCTAAGTAGGATTCTTAATAAAGCAGGAATTAGGGTGGCATTTAAACGTACAAACTCACTCAGGGACAAACTCTATAGGCTAAACGACCCTGTAGGTTAACCCAATCAGACAAAATAATATTATTTACAAAATAACCTGCAATGACTGTGAGGTCAACTACATAGGTCAAACTAGTAGGTCAGGGGTAGTCAGATTGTCGGAACATAAAAATTTAGCTAAGGTAAGAATGGTTGATCCCGAGAAGATAAGTAATTTAGAAAAAGGCTCAACAATTGCACTGCATGCATTAACGCACAACCACACAATAGGGTGGGAGAGGGTTAAAATTTTAAGAAGTAATATAGGTAGGTGGAGAGAGAGGTTGATTGCTGAATCCTAGTTCATCGAGTCTACACCCAACACGAGCAGTAGGAAGGACTCATCACTCATACCGGAAATATGGAAAATACTGCTACTAATGAAATCCAGCGATGGGAAATATTGGAATTATACAAACGAAGTTAGAAAGTTGTAAGTACCTTAATATGATTATGGGCAATAAATTGTTCTCGAAACGTCATGTGTAAATATTACTGCATAACACTGTGAGACTTTATCCAAATAAATTTTACCCATAATGGAATTATACTCTACCACAGTGCACAAGTTTTATTCTTAGTGTTATGTCGCCGTATTTCGAGGTATGTTTTGGCCAGGTGAAAAATGCCGGAAAGTATTTGGACGTGTCACTGATATACGCTTAACGGAATGATGAGTTCTCCAGAATTGATCTTTATTGCTTACATATTAATTTGTTTGTTAGGTGTTATCACAAAGTCAAATAGTGTTATATGAGGAATAGAATTTCGAAAACAATTTATTGTTCATAGCCGAATCAACTGCAACTTCAAAACTTCAAAATTTTCCTTTTATAATTTTCTTTATTCTCTCCTATTCGTCGTAGGGGTAGTAGAATTTTCCAGATGTTTGGGACAGGTGCTGAATGAATTTTTAGTTGATTCGATAAATAAAGTTCTTGTTATCAATATCCTCCTCCACCGTGTTAGCTTAGACTACCATCTTATCCAATTCTATGGTATGATTGTGTTTAACTACATGTAGTTCAACAGCTGAGCTTTTTTCTAGATTTCTTTTTTTTTTTTTGATTTACAGCTTGATTCCACACTGTATATTTGGTACAAGTATGGAATTTTCAGCATGGATATCGGTAGCCCAAATTTTGCAGGCCGACCATAGATATCAGGTGTGCGTCGGCGTGGGCTCGAACCCCGGACCATGTGCATGGTCGGCGAGAGTCCTAACCACTGTGCCACCGACGCACATTAGGGTCAAATAACCTAGATTTTGCCAGGCTTGTGCTCCCTTAATCTAACTGACTCCGTCCTACTACTAGTGGAGGATTAAATTTATGTATGGTAACGCTAATCTGCACAATAAAGAGAACTAATGATTTTTAACTGTTTCCAAGCCTAAAAGGTTTTATTATACCTCAAACAGCCTGGATCACATAAGCACAAGTATTCTGATGTATCCGTCTGTATTTATGTATTTTAGAGTCAATCTTCACATAGGTTTTAATGATACAAATTCACCTGACTGGTCATAGTTATGTCCATTGAATGACAGGTTCATTCTATAAATATCAGGTCACATTAAATTCACTTAAATACGTGATAAGCTATAAAAGACACATTGTTCATTGTCAGAGTCTAATAATTCCAATACTGTTCGGTTTGGATCTAAAAGTCAGTGTACACATATGATATTTGAAAAGAACAAAAAGTTCAGAAAAGTTATCTTTCCGGCGATTTCATTCTCAAAAGCTGTACAGTCGCATTTATATAGATTAGTTTACACGGATACAATTATCATTTGTTTAATTCCACATAGTAACGAAGGTGATAATAATTTTCAACTTGATATGAAAGTTTGAAGGCACGAATATAGATTACAAGGGGCTTCGAGATAAGGTTACATAGGATTAGAAAACAGTTACAACGGATGCAAAATTAACATTTGATAACTGGAGAAATAATTTTAAAGGCTTTTTTGTTTTGATATCTGTGTGTGTAATTTTCTCTCTTTCCCTTCATTCAATTCATCCTATTTTTTCACCGATAAAATCAGTTATTTTAAGTTTGTTTCCATGCTCCTCCTGATCACACTTGTAATATGTTTAGAATAACCATTTTACAATTATATTGTAACGCAACTACACTTTCATAGTATTCTGTAAGTTAATTTGAAAATGAGGACGTCTAGAAAACATTACACTGCTGCCTTTCAGTCACTTAAGTGAATGACTAATTGCTATCTCAGTACATTAATTGTGAACTAAGAAATATGCATGAATTGAGAGAAAAATTCAACAAATGTATAGAAAAACAAAAACGTTTAAAGATAATTAACCAACCTTGAATAAAATGACTCCTTTGTTAGGATCAAATTACCCTCCAGAATCGTGCAGTTAACCAACTGATTCAAACTTTTTAAATCTAAATTAGTCATTTTACGTCCATTTTTCGTTGTTATATCAGCAATTTTACAGGCTTAATGGAAAAGACGACAAACACTGTGTGAATATAAATAGTCTGGCAATGAGCATAGGTGTGTCAAACAATCTACATCAATTACTATGCTGCTAACCTGTAGCATTTGAATCGCTACGCTAAATTACGCTAGATTCCATGATAGCAGATATAATAAAAATCAACAGGTTTATCTAAAGGTGAACTGTCCACAAAACTGTGGCATCGTAGCTCATTTTCTTACATCTAGGCTTCTTAAGGAAACATACTTTCAACTGACTTTTTTGTGTTATCATGTATCATTTCACTGTTATACTGTTTCCGCGTAGAAATATGTACCACTCAGTGATACAGTAATATTGCCTGAATAACATTTCATAGCGACACATTCACACCGCTTCATAATTTGCTTTATGTATATTTCTCCTCTCACCTTCTTGTTGTTTGTTCCAATTTTCCATATCTCTGGTATAGGTGTCATTCAGGTTACATGTGTTCGGTGTTGATTAAATAAATAAGGATTCAGCGATTAACCTCTTTCTCTACCTACCTACTTTATATTTTAATACTTTCACTCTGTCCCACCATTACATGTAAGTGAATAAATTACAGTGGCCAAACATTTTTGGGGCTACTTAGCTTAATAGGGTCAATCATTCTCGATCTAGCTAGATCTTTATGTTTTAATAATCTAACTGACAATATCTACCAGTTTGATCTATGTAACTGACCTCACAGTCATTACATGGTATTTGCTAAATTATATATTTTTTCAAGTTGGATCACCAGCTGACATTAGTTACAGAACCATTAGAAACTGAGAAGTACTGGACAGCTGCTTCGTCCCAGTTTGGGACTCTTCGTCATTGCTGGTCCACCAAAGTTCGAACCTACGACCTTCCGGCCACCAAGCACTATATATATATATATATATATATATATATATATAATTTTTTTAATTGGAACTATTGGGTTCTTAAACCGATAGAGTTAGTTGGTTTAAATGGCTTCCGTAATGATCCTACCTAGGGCCTCTGATGCTGCTTCTCTGTGTGGCAGTACTACAGGGGCCTTGAGTTGCATATTATGTTACTTTCATCATTTTCACTACTAATCTTATTGTTTCTACGGGTCTCCAAACATTTCTGAGCAAATCCTAGTGCGTAGTTATTCACCAGTAATATTTTCCTTACTTGTTTCAGGTTAGACCACGGATTAATATCAGTTAGACGACCACTGAAAGCCAGGGAGTTTTGGACAGCAGTTTCATCCTAGTTTGGAGATCATCGACAGTACGCAACCACTGCCAGGGTTCGACCCCAGGACCTTCCGGTTACCATTCAGCCACTGGGACCCGACTCGTTGGCCCATGAATTCTAACTTCTACCAATTCGTGATTTGGCACAACCACCAACCAATGTCAACGGTGGGAACTCCATCCTCACTCCCGACTGGATGGACCTCATCGGTCATGACTTCTCACTAGATTGATTTCATCACTTACACATCCTAGCTTACTAATTAGGCTTCTGGTCTGATTATATAGACATTAACATTTATCGATTCCTCATTTTATTAATACTATGTCACTGTGTGTTCTTTCAGATAAACCTGTCTAGTATGGAATTATATGTTTCTTAGTTTAGAGATGTTGTTTGCCGTGATAGTAAGCTTTGGATATAGCCAAAAGGTGATGACGTTCAACTCAAAATCTCTAAAAAAATATGAAACAGTGATCTAGCAATATTTACGTCAATGTGTGATACATTTATTTGAAAAAGAATTTTGGAAAATCGTATTTTCTGAATTATCTTCTTGAAGAAATAAGCTATTTCTATACACCTTTATAATGGCATAACTAATTCAGCTCTTCAAAACCTTTCTGGATATTAAGCAGACATGTTCATATATTTCTATCCACGAAAAACGTGTTTATTTTGTCAACAATTTTAAAATTTCCTTAATATATATTACACTAGTAAGTTAAAGAAAGAAACTGTGGAGGTCAGCTAGCGTAGTCAATACAGATTATATGAGTTTATTATTTGGATGCAGTATACACTGTCTACTTAATGACTAATAGTTGACTGGTGTAAACCAAACAAAAGTAAAAACAATGTTAAACTAACATTTTGGACATTTGTCTTGACATGGAATACATACACGTCCATCTGTACTCATACTTCCTGCAGAACAGTGAGTTACGCATACATCACCTTCAATCATAAACCCCTCTACAACAAGCAAAAAAAACAACAACAGAAATCATGACAGTGTTTAAATAAAAATGCTCAGTGATGTGAAAACAACTGGGAAAAGTATTACCGCTACTTTAAGGCTAAAATAATGAAACTAAAATAATTTTGAAACCAAACTTTATTTTTGTGGACGAAATATATGGGCAAAAGATTTTCATCAGTAAGCCCAGTGAGTTTTAATAATTTTGGCAGACTGTTCCCTTTCGACTTCCTACAATACTATTTTTTTTCAGTAACACATAATTTTTAACTTCTTTGAGTTCACAGTGGAATATAGGACTTCAACCTTTGAAGTTCCAGTAGCAGTGTTGTTTATTTCTTAAGTGGCGGGGTTGCTAGCCTCATGCCTAACCTTCTGTCTTTACCCGGATTACTAAAGGCTAGAATCTGAATACAGTAATAGTGGCACCTATCAAACGACCTGCTATAGATGCCAACAGATCTAGTGTCATGATAACTTTGTGGATCTTAATTAAAGAAATCTCCAACATGTCATCCGTGCAAGGGTTAGTTGGGTGGTGACACTATTCAGTGTCGAAATTCCTACTATAGGTAAAATATTTTCACAAATTATTTTCTAAAAAAAGCTTTTTGTAGATGAATCATTTTCATATGTGTTTGCCGATTTCCAAAGTCATATTAATGCTAACGTAGTTGAAATTCTTCTTTGGTAACGATAACCAGTAATGTTAACTACAGGACAAGAATAGAAACTATATGGAAATAAGCTACCCTCCTTCCTGTAACTTGAATTAATCACCATGCTTTAATTGTCAGTATGAGTGTCTGAATCTCTTCACTTTCCCAACAATTATTTCTGCTTGAAAAAAATGAACATAATATTTTTGTCTGTTTTCTGAATAAGAATGCTGGAAGTGACAGTCATACTCAGAAATCTTATTAAGACAACCGGTGGTTCTCAATCTTCGGTAATGAAATGAAATCAGTGTGGTTCACTCTAACCAATGTTTCATTTTAGTCAAGATGCAGTAATTGAGACTTTATCACAAGGAGGCTGAATCATCCAACTAATGACAGCCTAGATACAATGAAAGCTCCAGAAACAAAAACGGAATTTAACAAATGAATATGTTTCAGTTATGATGAATAGATCGGTACCATGTTTTAGAAATTTTAACATTATTTGATCCATTATCTAAACTCACTAGACGTTTTAGTGAAGTTTTATCAACAGTACTAGCCATATGAAGTTTTAAATTCTAAAAGCATTCTTCAGAAACGCTTCGCCTAAGCTAATGCCATCAGAATGAGAGTATCTGATAAATTATTGTTATTAAAAAAACCCCAGGTATGTTTCAGTAGTCAAAAATTCCTGCAAACTTTGATTTATGTCTTAGAATCATTAAAAAGGGGATGAATAGGAAAACTACTCTGACGACTAAAAATTAGATCACGGATTTTACATACCTGGACACGCTGACAGGCATAAATTCCCAAGACGATATTTGACTTCTGGATTAGGGATTAATTTTCCTTCACGAATTACTGTCCTGGAAGGACAGTGTGCAACACATATTCCAGAATTATAGTATTCTTTACAACTCTGCGATAAAGCGTAAAGGCAAATGACAGAAAAAAGAAAAGCATAAAATTATTTTAAAATTAGGCATTTTTACTGTAGGCTCATCTGATTGACTGTTCAATGTCATTTCTCTTCGACGTAATTCGTTTACCCTAACCTTTCATATCATTCGTTTACACTAATTTAAGGGTCATCTAGACATGATCTTCATTTTTGTTTGTCTTCGCCTTGAGATGTTAAGAAGTATCCTGCATATCTCATTGCGTTGTTACAAGGTGTACAAACTTTGAGTGAAGTGAAAATAAGGATATTTAAGCAAGCTGATGACAATTTACCAGACAGTAGGTTACTTTCAATAATGTTAGGTAATTTATTGAGTATTTGGGTATCATAAAAGTACTAAAAACATCTTGGGGCTGTGTATGTCACTTCTATCCACTAATGATGACCGATTAGTATGAAAATTGTGACATACTCCTTAACTTGTCAAGTATTACATAAGCGTGTTCATGCAAAGTACAATTTCGCAATTGCTATAATATTCTGGGATTTCATCATGAGCTGACATTAGTTAGAGAACCATTGAAAAACCTGGGAGTACTGGACAGCTGTTTCGCCCTAGTTTGGGACTCTTCATCAGTATGCACCCACCGGGATTCGAACCCAGGACCTTCTGGTTACAAGGCGAGCTCGTATACCATTAAGCCACTGGGACCCGATCCAATGGTCCTTGAATTCTAACTTCTGCCAATTCACGACATAGCGCGACCGCTAGCCAATGTCTTCGGCGAGTATTTGTCCTCACACCCGACCAGCTGCATCCTACTGGTCACGACTTCCCACTGGTACCCAGGTAACTACCTACCTGAATAGGGCCGAATTTGCTGAATACATTGGCTAGGGATGGCGCCATGTCTTGGATCGGCAGAATTTGGAATTCATGGTCTAGGCACTGGATCGGATCACAGTGGCTTAATGGTATACGAGCTCGCCTTGTAACCAGAAGGTCCTGGGTCCGAATCCCGGTGGGTGCGAACTGGTGAAGAGTCCCAAACTAGGACGAAACAGCTGTCCAGTACTCTCAGGTTTTCCAATGGTTCTCTAACTAATGTCAGCTCATGATGAAATCCTAAAACCAATCAAATCCCTACAAACAAACACTTGAATGCTATAATAGTCAATTTACTGCTATTGTGGTGAGAGCAGGCTGCTAGCCGATTGGTTGGCACTAATCTACGTTAAGGTCTAGGTCACTAATATGGGCCGTGAGAAAATATGAACAAGGCTGAGTCAACAACCAATCACAGCAAAGTTAACGTGGCAAAATATGATTCGCAGATAGAGAACTCTATTTGTCAAGGAATCCCGAAACAACCAATCAGAAGCCTGCGTTTGTCTACCTAACTTCTGATAAACAACCAATCAGATGACTGCGCTTGTCTATAATAATGTAGTTGAAATATGTATAAATACGTGTTGATTTTTATAATAAAACGATCTGTTGCCTGGCCCTTGTCTTCTGTTGTTACACTATAAGCTTGAAAGAATTATGACTCATTTTGTGTCTTTGAGAAACAGGAATACATATTCTCTTGTCCTCTCCTATCTTAAGCACTTCAGAAAAATTCTCTGGGATAACTATGAAACTTAGAGTATATCGCATCAGAAAGCAAGATGTTTCGTTGATTTGTTTCGGTTGATTAAGCTCTCATATATCAGCATTCAGTATGCCTCTCCGAAAAATAAATCCAGAATTTCATTCTTCTCATTCAGTTCTGAAATTGAAATAATTACACCTAGAGTGAAACCAGTGTACTAATAGTTCATCGATGTTTTTATTACACATAATGCTCATCATTAATTACTTAAAGCAGGTCATTCCGAATTTTTAGTCTGAAGATATACTCTCTTTCTGTGCGAAAAGTCTTATTTAGCTTTCTCTACTATGTTATTCTGATTCTACTTCTTTTTAATACCTAATTTTATTAAATTAAATATTCCCATAATTTATTCAGAACAAAATATTTAGAGTGAACAATTGTTTTCAATAAATTCTTCTTCAGGCTCTACAATTATAAATCCATTAATGTAAGCATACAATAGCCAGTAAAGGCGAATTAGAATCATATCAGAAAGTGTATTGTGGAACAAGTAAAAGATGGGATGAAACAATAGTCATATAGCCATATAGTTTTTTAATATGCATGGTCAATAACAACATGGGACAGAATGAGAACAAGAGTGATTATTTAGACAAAATGAATATCATTCTAAACGACCATACGAAATTTCAAAAGCTAAGCAGTTGTAAAGACACAGCGGAGGCAACCGAACGCCAAATGGCTAAGACACTAAAATCATTAGTTGAGAGTAATCTGATTCCTAAAGAAACACTCGACGAATTGAAACCCTCAGGTACGCACACACCAAGACTTTATGGTTTACCGAAAGTCCATAAGCCGGGAGTACCACTACGTCCCATCTTAGATATGTGCCAATCCCCTTATCATTCTACAGCTAAGTGGTTGGTAAAGGCACTAGAACCACTACATCGCGAAGTAGTGAAATTCAGTATCGAAGACGTATTCAGCTTTGTGGAAACTACCAAAAGCTTGAATGTAAAGGGAAAGAAAATGATGTCACTGGATGTAGCATCATTATTCACCAACGTCCCACTGCTTGAAACAGTCAACTACATATGTGACCAGCTGATAGAAAAGAAAATAGATTTGGGAATCCCACCCGAAAAGGTCAAAGAATTATTATTGAAATGCACTATGAATGTTCAGTTTATGTTCAATAATGTTTTTTATAGACAAGTTGATGGGGTAGCCATGGGATCACCTTTGGGCCCTTTGCTAGCGGATATTTTCCTCGCAAAGCTTGAAAATGGTCCACTCAAAGACACGATTAAAGGGCTTGACTATTATTGTCGATACGTAGATGATACGTTTATCGTTTGTAATAGAAATCTTAATAAACAAGAGCTTCTGAATACCGTTAATAGTGTTCACCCAACTATTCAGTTTACATGTGAAGAAGAAGACAATAACAGTTTACCTTTCCTAGACGTCCTACTTACCATGAAGACAGGCGGATATCTACAAAGGAAATTATTTAGAAAGAAAACTTGGACGGGTCAGTACACCCATTTCCATAGTTTCACACCGATTCAGCATAAAAGAAACTTAGTTAAGTGTCTTAGCTACAGAATAAAACGAATATGCTCAGAGGAATGCATTAAGGAAGAAATGCATAAACTAAAACTCACACTGCAAGAAAATGGATATCCACAGAGCTTCCTAAAAAAGTATATGTCAATACCTATAGACAGGGTAAAGGTGGATACCGTAGACAAGAAACCTTTGTATCTTAAGTTAAGTTACAAAGGGGAAATTGCAGCTGACATTCTAAAGTGTCGACTCAATAGAGCAATAGATAGAACATTTCCCGCAGCTAAATTGGTACTAAACTTCTCAACTAAACCAGTACTCACACAGCAAGTAAAGGATAAATTACCAAAGATGGCCTCATCAATGTGCATCTACGAATTCAACTGCTCATGTGGAGCTAGTTATATTGGCCGTACTCAGAGGGCTTTATCCATGCGCGCACGTGAACATGTACCTGTATGGTTGAGTAAAGGAGTAACCAAAGGCATAAATAGTGCAGTCTTAGCCCACTTGGTAGATACTGGACACCCGATAAAACTTGACCAAGCGTTCTCAGTTATTTACCGCGTTCCTAGTAATTTATCTAGAGGAGCTCGACTACGTCTTCTATCAGTAGCTGAAGCAGTTGCAATTAATACCAGAAGACCATCCCTCTGCATACAGAAGAAGTATGTTCAACCTCTATGTTTACCTTGGCCTACAATAAAGCCAACAAATCCTCCATTAACACTATAAATTCCTTTCACAATTTCCTTTTCTTTTCCTTCTTCTATTCCTCTGTTTCATTGACAAACGTATATTTTCGACTTTTATGATTTAATGACCATTCAAGTGTTGGTTTGTAGGGATTTGATTGATTTCAGGATTTCATCATGAGCTGACATTAGTTAGAGAACCATTGGAAAACCTGGGAGTACTGGACAGCTGTTTCGTCCTAGTTTGGGACTCTTCAGCAGTACGCACCCACCGGGATTCGAACCCAGGACCTTCCGGTTACAAGGCGAGCTCGTTTACCATTAAACCACTGAGACCCGATCCAATGGTCCTTGAATTCTAACTTCTGCCAATTCACGACATAGCGCGACCGCTAGCCAATGTCTTCGGCGAGTGTTTGTCCTCACACCCGACCAGCTGCACCCTACTGGTCACGACTTTACACTGGAACCCAGGTAACTACCTACCTGAATAGGACCTTTCTTATGATTTTATTACCTTAGGTTTAATTAGTGCTTTTCTAACTTGCTATCGTATTCACAAAATCCTGTTCATTCCACTTTATTGTATTCATTATTATTATTTGACAATCATTCACCAATAGTACATTTAATTTTAATTTTACACCATATCATCGTTATTATTTTACAATCATTCTTATTATTGAATTGAATTTTTGATTTTCCCGTCGATTGATTGGACCGAAGTGTTCGGTCTCAGGTTGACATGTCGGCTTCTTGTGCAGATGCTTCGACGATGTCTGGGGATTTGATTTGTATACAATTGGTGGATGGTGGCTAGCAGTGGAATCCAGGATGCGCATTTCGTCCTATTTGGGACTCGTCAGCTGGATGTACCTGCATTTCTCAGTGAGTGATGATGTTCCCACCGAGGCTCGAACCCAGTGCCCATAGTTTCAAACGCCAAAGCGTTATCCACTAGACCACTTGGGCCACGAGAGCCGAACACTTCGGTCCAATCAATCGACGGGAAAATCAAAAATTCAATTCAATAATTAATATATAACCCGTTGCACAAGAGGTGGCTCTCGTGGCCCAAGTGGTCTAGTGGATAACGCTTTGGCGTTTGAAACTATGGGCACTGGGTTCGAGCCTCGGTGGGAACATCATCACTCACTGAGAAATGCAGGTACATCCAGCTGACGAGTCCCAAATAGGACGAAATGCGCATCCTGGATTACACTGCTAGCCACCATCCGCCAATTGTATACAAATCATTCTTATTGTTGTTATTTTCAACCTTGAACTTTAGTCTAGACCGCCCCACTCGTTGGTTTATTTTCATATTGCCTCACACACCCTGATTACACTCACTCTTGAAACCTGTATTTTCTGTTAACTATATTTATATATATACGCACATCATTAAATTAAATTATTTCATCTCATTCTGTCCCATGTTGTTATTGACCATGCATATTAAAAAACTATATGGCTATATGACTATTGTTTCATCCCATCTTTTACTTGTTCCACAATACACTTTCTGATATGATTCTAATTCGCCTTTACTGGCTATTGTATGCTTACATTAATGGATTTATAATTGTAGAGTCTGAAGAAGAATTTATTGAGAACAATTGTTCGCTCTAAATATTTTGACCTAATTTTATGTTTATAAGACAGACAAAATTATGTCTGTTATTTCAACGCAGAAGCTCAAAGTTAGTCGACACGTAGCTTTAAATCTGGGTTGTTGGCTTTTGAAAGGAATATCGTAACACAATGCTGAAGTCATTGACTTAATATTTATCATTATTTATTCCTTCACATTCTCAGTGGAACATACGGCTTCAAGCTAGAGGTTTGAAGTTTCGCTAGCAGTGGTGTTTATTTTTACGGGATGGAGTTGCTAACCTCATGCCCAACCTTCCCTCTTTACCAGTCTTATTACTGGCTTAGTGATGCAAAGGAGTGTGTCGGTCGGGTATGGAATCCCGGACCAGATGTGTGGTCTATGAGCACTCTACCACTGTGCCACACCGACTCACACTTATTAACTTAAACAAATGTTGAAATCAGTGAGAAAATGTACGCTTAGATTTTCGTATCAACTGATACAAGAAAATCATAACAGTTAAAATTGACTTTTATTACAAGTTATTCTAATTATCGGAAAAGTAGAATTCTAAGGAATATAAACAGAGGAAATGATCTGATATTCGTGAGAATCATATACTTCTAAAAAAATCTAATAGCTGTATACTCAGGCAGTATTAGGCAAAAAGAAATATAAGATATCTAGGCTATTGACTATTTAATGCTTATGAACTGAATGTCCACTATGTATTGAAATTTATGGCTATGTAAGTATCCATCAAGTGACATCACTAGACAAGCCATTGCTCGAGTGGAAACGGCGAGTTGGTCGTCAATGCGAGGGTGACTTGGAGGGGGTCATGTGAAGAGGAGATGAAAGCATGTGGACAGACTTGGAGCCATATGAAAACTCTAGCAGAGATCCGAAGGCAATGGAGACGCATGGCTGAAGCCCTATGTTCCTCTAGGAATTAAAGGGAATAATAATAATAAGTATCCATTTAGTCCTTATAGGTCGGGTCCATTGTGGTAAGAGATAAACATTCTTCTAGATAGACTGAGTTATGTTAGAATTGTCTCAGCCTCCATAAATCCAAAGATTAATGTATTACTACTGGGCACTGATTATTTATCTTCCTGTCATAAAAAGTTAATTAATTATTTCACCTAACTGATGTATTTCACTTCGGAATGCCTTTTTACTCACAGTTATGCAAAATATGAGGTAGGATGTTGAGTGAAACTTATCGAACAGATTTCAATGGATTTATGTAGTTGGGGAAAGGAAAAAACAATTGGTGGAAGACACGTTTCCTTCATAGTCATGAATTCATATCAGCAGTAAAGGTTTAACTCATAACTACACATCAAATAGTTACCAGCTGCCTGAAATTGGTACACATTTCCAAACTGTGTTTGAACTAATTTGAAACCAATGGGATGCTTATCAAAGCATGTGATAACTTATGTAACCTCTCACTTACTTGAATCTATATAGCTTAAAGAACACTTTTTTCAAAAGCTTCACGAATAAGGAAAGAAGCATGGATGGAACACCTGCATGACATTATGTCTGCCAAATTTATTGTGAATCAAAGTCTACTTACAAAATCCTGACATAATGATCTCTTGTCAATACAATTTATGCTACTATAAGTCAAAGTTTCCTACCAGGTGACTAGTAAGATTTTATAATGAAAAGAAAATAACAGGCACTTGAGACCAACATTTTTGACATTTAAATTGAAACGCACTTTAGAGTAATTTTATCACAGGTTGGAAGCAAACACCAAGCCAACTAAACTGATCAATTCTATGGAAACTTTCCTACAGCATAATGCCGACTAAAACAAAACTGAGGTAAAACTGTCTGACATTCAGTTCTCATATTTTCCGGAGATACATAATTTAGTGTAAAACGTGATCATAAGTAGAACTTAAAGATGATACATAGCTTCTGATATAAATGAATAATATTACCAATCATGGGTGCGTCTGTGAGTTGGCTAACGACTGTTATCCACGAACAAATACCATAACACAGGAGAATGAAGACGTCAGTCGCCCGAATTATACTGAGGTTAAGGATATGAAATTCTCTGAAAGCATGGTTTGCACTACTTCGACTAATTGTGGTGCAACGGTTAGTCTACCATTTTTTCAGATAGGTGTAAATCCTTAATTTTGACTTCTATAAAATAAACTGTGACAAATTTACTTTAAATTAACTTCAGACATTCATCGATGTGAACAGACATTGATTCAGTTTATTATGATCAACAGAATGTCAGACATTTGTGATAGAATCATTGATTGAAACAATAAACGTTATTTAAGAAGTTTCAGTGGATTATTTACTGTGACGGTGGAAAACAGTCAATTATCATAATTTATTCAAAGAAGAAAATCACTTATGCTGTAAAAATTTATGCATGTTGTTTTTTATTAGTGAACGGAAAAAGTGACTAGATATTTTTGCATTTCATATTTATTAGGTTATGCGGGTGATAGTGTAATTTAAAACTATAAGTTCACAAATATGTGTTGTGTTTCGGCATCCATTTTCCCTGACCTTGCTGGGTGTTTATCAAGGCTTCTAAATGAAAGAAATTCTATTTGCCTTCAAAGATATGCGGTCCTGGCTAATATTTTAGTGCATCATTTGACATCTATAACATTTGCTGACACAATTAATCTCGTTTAATGCACCGCATATAGTGACTATAGGACTAAGTGTAATGAAAGCTAAACTAGCTATGTGATTTTTCTCACAACGGTAACTATATACTTTTTTTATTCCTCTCTCTGTTTGTCTTTGTCAAAATGACCACCATTGTTTAAAACTTGAAGTATAATTCTGATCAAATACAGTTTTTAGTAGAAAAAGTGTAATGTATGCACGGTATATATCTAATTGCTTTATAACTAGCAGTTGTTCTGTGTGCAATTTTTAAACAACTAAGTGTTACTTTAGAGTCCTCTGAATTCAAGATAATCGATGCATTTTCCTTACTATTCAAAGCCTTAGTCCCTTTAGGTAATCTCCATACTGACATTCAGATTTTGAATGAAAAATATATTGTTCCAGAGTAGAATAATTCTATTTGGTAAAACACACAGTGGTACTGATTTATCAGTATATAAATAAAGTATACCACTGTGTGTTTGATCAAGTTAACCTATTCTATTATCGAGCTGTATTCTACCACAATGCTCAAACTCTGTTTTTATATCATAAATCGTTTGTTTCTATTATAGACGCATATCTTGTATGCAATACTATATGCATCGAATGAAATCAAGAATTTTGTGCATATTTACATCACCAGACCAGGCAAAAAAATTACCATAATTCACCAAAGAAAATTCAAAAAGAATGTTTTAATGTAATGTGAATACAATGCAAAACAATAGACACATACCACACATTGTGAAGCTAATGGACCAGTACACCCGCCTAGACATTGCTCATGACAACATGTAGATGAATTTCCTATTTTTAAACATCGATTGCACAACAGATTTTGACATTTGGATTCTGTGGGTAGGTAAAAGTTTAAATTTATTGATGAATAGAATCAGTTAGGTCTCTATTAAGGTTTCTATGATGAAAAAAGCACTTCAAAACAATTGATTTATACAATAATAATAATAATAAAATAAATATGCAGGCAGTAATCATCTGAGAAAGCATTTAATCTGGTTAATGATTTAAAGACATTAAAGGTTAAATATCAGTTCGAGTTGTTTACTTAGACATTATAAGCAAACGCCATCTCAAGAAGCGTTTAAGAATAATGAACAAGACTTCAGGATTTATGATTCATCAAGTACATACTTTCAGTAACCCCTATATATGAGAAATTTTGATTTGTGAACCATATCGAGTCAATTCTACCTATTTTACTATTATTCTATGGTGAATAAGTACGATCTACAAACAGGTGAAGACCATGGTCAGATGGTCAAAAGTAGAGCACATTACCATTCAGTAGTCACGTCAAAGTTAACTGGTTGGTGGGTATACAACATATGGTTCAACTTGCAAGTATTCGATAGATTGGTTCTAATGAATAAAGCAAAACTGTACGGTTAATACAACAAGAAACCGTTACGTAGTAGATAAAAAGAGCATATGATTTCATTGTTATATGTATCGAAAGTCTGTGCTCTAAATTTTGTTAAACAATGTGCAATGAATCATACCAATTTCTGATAAAGCGACTGAGCACGTTGACAGAGGGTAAGGCTTAAGTGCATCATTATTTTTACCTATCAAATGTACTTCATTATATTTAGCAGCGACACATTTTTTACAGGTTTTCCGTTACCCTTTTATGATACAAACATGAAGTTTAAAACAATTAGTTCCCTTTATAAATTTAGATAAAGCAATAAGAAGACGAAATTTGTCTGAATCGTGTAATGTATTTGCGCAACACATTTCGGTCAGACCATATTCCTAAATGGCTTCAGAAAAAAATGGATTCTTCAGAACGGTGGGAACAGGAGACCTAGCTCTTCTATTGCGAAACATTTTGTAGAGACAGGACATAAAATTGATGTTAACAGAACTTTTAAACCTATCTATAAAATGTGTTTGGGGCGTATCCTAAAGTTTGTGGAAGCCCTAGCAATTAGAAAGTTCAAGTCACCTTTATGCGTTCAAAAACAATTTGTCATCACATTAAACCTTCCTTGGTAAATTTTGTTTTGATACCAACCAGAGTAGATGTACACACCTCTGCTATTTGATTTAGTGGTCTTCATTTTTATTTTTTGACCTTGAATATGTCCTTTTAACTTGACCTAAGTCTATTTTTCTCACCTCTTACCTCTTTATTAATTTTTTATATATATATTCCTATGACAAGTCCGTGTGTGATCAGATTGTTCGAAATGTGTTGCGCAAATACATTACACGATTCAGATAAATTACGTCTTCTTATTGCTTTATCTACAGATATAAAGGTTGAATTGTGTCAGAGTTAAAATCAACAAATAGAGAACCACTTCTGTAATAGTTGCTAAAGTTTCTTACGTTTTTCAAATGTGGCTACTCACATAAATTCTGACGTCTTGTCTTTTAGATTCTCGACTTGTGCTTACTTGGGATTCGTTATCACAGCTTTTGTATTAATATGTCAGGAACCTTTATCAAGCCTATTAGATGAATTAGCTTATTTCAGCTATTGTGAAAATGTTGGTACATTTGTTACAACTAAATACAGATGGTGAGCGATGGCTTAAAGTGATACCTCAGAGTCATACACTCATGCATACACTATTTCATAATAAAAGTAGCCCATGTGAATAAGTGGTTTACCAGAAATTGTTATTAAAGTGAATTTCTTTCTAATAAAGGTTGTAATAGTAGTTAGTATCAATTAAAAATAATTAGGACAGTATATAATCATATTTATAAAATATAATTTTATGTGAAACAAAAATGATAACAAACTCACGATGTTGACACTCAGTTAAAGATGAACCCCAACAGTATGTTTGGTTGTTTATTTTCGGACAAAATCTAGAACAGGCTGGTGTTTATAAAAAAGCAGCATGATTATAATGAGTGGTTCATTAGCGAATAAATAAAATGTTTACATGTTGACTTTCTACATAGTGTTCTAAATCAAAATAAAAGTCTTTACTTCTCAGTTATTAGGCATGAGAACGAGAAATAATTAATTCACAGATGTAGTTTTTAAACGCCTCAGCAAGGATGAATTTTCCGCCTATCTGACATAGCGGAAAATTACACTGGATTATAAGTAATGCGTGATACCAACTGTTAGATGTGAGGGTGAGGAATAACTACATATAAAGGTCTAATTTTATTTAGTTCTTTATAGGTTTGTGTATTTCTTAAGAAATGCTTAAAGAGAAAAATGCATTCTGACTATCACGGTTACACATTAGTTTTCCTTATAATTTTTTGGAATAGAAGTTGATCTGGAAACCAGATTTATTATGGATTCCGGAGCACTGGATACCTGTTTCGTCCTAGTTTGGGACTATTTGGCTGTACGCATCGGTGATCCTATTAAGAACCGAACCCAGAACTTTCAGGTTACTAGTCGAGCCTGTCAGCCATTCAAACACTAGGGTAGAATCCAAAGGCCAATAAATGCTAACTTTTTACAGGTTCTCTAACTGATATCATTTCGTGATACGACTTCAAAACTCTCCTAAATATGTTTTCAAATGTCTTCCTCAGATGCACTTTTGCTATATTTAGGAATAGATTTCATTTTAATTTGTCTGTTTTAAAAAGGTGCGTCTGAGGGTAATTGCCTGGAACGTGATTATTTGACTAATCTGTGTATTTACACACATACTTGGAAAAACAAACACAATGAAATCAGACACAATACAAAAACTAACAGTCAATTAGAAAGTGTAAAATGTTTCGAAATATTCAATGACTAACCACCACTAAAACCTAAATTCTCTTACGAGGATATGGACTTTGACTGCTTAGATTGATATATCTTGAAAAACAAACACTTTTTGATCAATGAAGGTGTATCTCTCCACTGCAACACACACTTTATTTAGAAAAAAAAGTTCTTATTGTCAACTTAATTTTAATCCAGTTATTATTCAAAAAAAGGTAGGATAAGAATAACTTCACCCGCCTGTTTACACAGTTTAAGCTCTGTATTGAAAAAAAGAGAGAAAAAATCGATGGATGTTGTCTTGTAATTCCACTTCAGCAAATATGTTTCAGATGCGTTTTTCAAGAATAATAAAGACAACTTTTTGACTGAATCTAGTCAGTCCTAAGGACTAGACAACGAACAGTGATTTCATACTAATGGGTGAATAGATAACGAATATATTTGCAGGATCAAAAGAGCTCATGTTTGTTTTTCTATTTCACAGCTTTTCATCTGTCACTAACAGCCTAAAAACGCTGATATAAGTTATTACAAATGCATCAGAAATTATTTAAACGTAAATAACGTATAAATCGAACAAAAAATTTGAATATAAGATACTTAATAATAATAATTTACATATAAAGTGATGGAACAATCGAGAGGGGCAAGAGGTAAAAGAAATAGTGAGCACAAGTTAATTTATTGCTCAAACACACAATTAAAAGAAATTGGGAGATTAGTAAAGAGTTCAGCTCAGTGAGTTGTAATCAAAAACAATTCGACGCAACAAAAAACAGAAACAAAGTAGAACCATTCAGTTACCAGGGTAGTGGGAGGTTAATCTCCCCATTTTTCTGTATAAAGGAATTGAGTTGAAATCTTTTGATGGCAGTGGCTTCTTACGAAGTGAATTAGACAGGGTTTTCTTTGTATATTGACTGAATACCCTATGTCAACCAAGAGTTTTTAGTGATTCCAATCGGAAACACTTTCTTACTTTTCATATGAAGATTGTTGAGGAAATGATATTAGCAACTGATGAGAGTCCTTGAAAAATAAAACATCAGCCCCTTTCACACTGCAAATATGTTCATTTTTTGAAGACACTGATTAATTCACAGCTACCTTCAGAAACATGTAATCACATGGCAAATTTAATCCTCAGACAAAAAGACAGCAGTTAATTAAGTTTAACACTGATGACTACTTAGGGTATAGCAAGGGATACTCACGTCTACCGACAACACAGTTGAAAATTTCAACGAAATGATGAAGACCAAACTACTAGAATAGGTTTCAACTGTTGACAAAACATGCTTGAAAAAAAATTTATTTGATACCCCAGGGAAAAATGGTTAAATCAATTCTTTCAACATGGAAAACCTTGTTAATTATAACCACTGCAAGTATGTATAGAATTTATGATTAGTGTATGGGTGACTTATGCAAAAAGTTAACCGATGATTATGTACTAAATTCACACGACACCTGTTATCTGGTAGGTTGATTAAAGCGCTCTAAACCTTTACATCATCAGTGAATAAAACATAATGACCAATTTCTAAATCCTCATTTCTTAAATAGTAATAAGGCTTTTTATTTCAGACACTATATGAACACAGAGTACAGGAATTTTCAGCGTTCCAAAATATTCCCTCTTCGCTCAGGTATTTACATGTAAAGTAATAATCTGAAGTATGTCATGTGACATAGAGTTGTTGCATATTACGGCGTAACCATTGCTGCACATTTTTGTCCTTCCTTTCCTTCAATAAATTCGCAGCGTTTCATTGAAAGCTAATTAAATATGTGCGCCAGTCCAGGTAGAAATCATCTGATATAACTGCATGGTTAAAACAATAAGAAATACTAAAGAGTTTAAGCATTTTGATGTATAAAACTTTCGGTAGCCTAGTAATTTTAGCAGGCTGCTGTGATGAGGATTGAATATTGAATAAGCCGATCTTTTCCTTAGAAAATAATTACTTGGTAGGATTATATATATATATATATATATATATATATATATAATCAACTGACTGGATAAGAATATTAAACAAAGCAATAATTGTATGTACTTTTCGGAATGTACCAGTCCAAAATTTTTTGCTCGTTAAAAGGTTTCTTCATCTTTTTTAAAATTAACCATAAATCTCACAGATACATCACTAAAATACTGTTAAATCCTGCTAGCATATTCTGATTTTCAAAAGCTGTTGACCACAAAGCTGACGTCCTCACTAAACACTTTATTTTGTAGGCAAGATTCCTCTTGTTGGCATATCAACAACCTCAGCATGTTCGGACAAGACAGTTTTTTTTCTTGTTATTTTGGCATGATCGTCTGAAAACGTGGGTGTACATAATCAGGCGCTTATTATCATTTCCATGAGACGTTATCCTGTTAATTTGTTTAAAAGCCATTCAAAAATCTGCTTTTACTTCAGTCTTTTACTAAGTTTGATGATGACAAATGTTTGTTATTGGTGAAAATGACATGTCCATTCTGGCCACATTTTTTTCATGCGATTATTACAAATAAAAAATAGACGACGTTTTAAGGTGAATGTGGTTTCAGATATTCATGTCTGCATTGAAATCACAGTCAGTCAGACAATTAAATGACAGAGAGGTGACCAGAAAATAACAGGAGATTACCAACAAGTAGCTTTGAAAATGTCAGCTACGTTATGGTGTTAATTTGAAGCCAAGATTTCACAAAAAAAGAAACATCCGATAAACTGCAGTTAACCTCAGTTTAAAATTTATTATCACTGAAAATCTGAAAACAAAACTGCGAGCTCCTAAAAAGTAGTAGACAGGTTTTTTTGAATTTGGTTGATGATGACTAGCGGTGGAATCCAAAGTATGCGCTTCGGCCTATTTGGGATTCGTCAAGTGGACGTTTCTCTATTTCCCAGTGAGTGGTAGTGTTCCTGCTGTGGCTCGAACCCAGCACCGGTAGTTTCAAATGGCATAGCGTTATCCACTGAAGCACTTGAGCCAGGACAGACACCAACACCTGTGCAATGACTTTAGTTGTTATTTAATTCAATTTGAATTTTCCCGTTGACTGATGATTTGACAGAGGTGTTCGGCCTCAGTGGGAACGCTATCACCCACTGGGGAACGCAGGTACGTCTAGACAACGAGTCCCAAACAGGACGAAATGAGCATCCTCGATTCCACTACTAATTACCATCCACCAAATTACTTCAGGTTAAATTTTCAGACATTGTCGAAGCATCCATTCAATGTGAGGACATGTCAAAAGAGGCTGAGAACTTCGGTTTAATTAATCAACCGGAAATTCCATAAATTAATTAAATCTCGTAAGTGTTGGGCAAATTTAAACATTTTAGAGTGTCACCTAGTGTTATGTGATGTTCATGTATCATGCTGTATATGATTTAATTGGTGTGCATGAGTGAAAAATAAATACTTTCATTTATTCTGCGACTATTAGTTCCTATCCATCTGATGTGCACATTTAATTTAATTTAACTGATAAGATCCGGACTACTTAGTGAAATGTGCTATGACTATAACTCAGAAGCATTTTTACTTAGAAGCTAAGTGTTAGTCAATCTGATACAAACACAAGGTTACAACTAGGTACTGATTAGTCATGATCTGATTACCTTTAGTTAATGACTGTGACTGCTGAAATATCTCCTTGTAATATTTAATATTGAAATACTTTTGTAGAAGGCTTTGGATGTTTTCTGGTGAATATGCACATAGCTATATGCTAGAGACAGGTTAGCATGCGTTAGAAATATAGAAGATAATAGTAATAGATTTTTCATGCAATCATTTGAATAATTTGTTGGCGTCATTTCGAATCGGAAATTATGTAACTTCCCAATACCACCTTGTTTTGTATTGTGATTAACAGTCACTCCAAAAAAAAGGATTCAAATTCCTATTGTTCGAAATGTGCTGTTCTGAGTAAGTTGATAGTATTTATCAATCACATTTGTAAGGAATACATTCAGTAGTCAAACTTTTGAGTCTGAGGTTAGAGCTTTCAAGAGTATAAAATGACTCCCAACTACACCAGATTGGTAGTGGAAATGGCATCAGCAAGTGTTTTACACATTTTTACAGTGACTTAAAAATTAACTAAAATGGTTTAGTGAAAATATATCATT